AAACTATCTTGAAGAATAGGATCAATGAGTAAATTTTATTTTGGTTCAAAATCATCCCACCGAAACCTACATCTTAGTTTAAACCAATCTCAAAGGCTCATTCCATTTGTGCTTTGAGAGAGCATAACTTGGGCACCTTTTAGAAAACTGATCGGATAGCTAACTGCTAAAACTCAAACTGAAAATAATTCAGAGAGCTAGAAAACTTCCGACAGCATAAAATAACATGAACCACACTACATCACTTATGCAAAATATAGCGACTAAAATCAGCAAACATTTCTTCATTTTTCAGATGAACTAGATTACGACATCATGTAATAAACAAATCAATTAGAATCTGTTAATACTCACGAAGTGGCCCAGGTTTTGAGAACAATAATCCACTCAACTTAAATTGCACGGGTAAGTCACAGTGTCATCCGCCTCCTCAGAGTGGGACAGAAAACGGCAAAATGGATGCCAGGCATCTCCCCCACGAAAGGAAGGACCACGTTTGACAAGCAGAAATGAGAAAAAAGCTTAACTCTTACGAAAAACATCATGACAAATTTTGGACAATGCAACTTGAAGACAGAAGCGAAGCTCTGAGCTCCGCACCACTTGCAAAGCAACAAGTATAGAGTTAAAACAAAATTAAACTCAAGAACTAGACAAGAGGTCTTCGAACGATGTTACTCTTAAAAAAGATATAGAAAAAAAATTGAAAGTTATTTTTATGTTTAAATTTATTGAAGTGTTTTTAAGAGGTCATAATGGTGCTGAAATTGAGCATTTAAAAATGTGGCGCCGGGGTCTCAAAAAATTTTCAAAAAAAACTGAAAAAAGCAGGAAACAATATATTCGGTAAACAAACCGACAGAATAAAAGACGTCAGCCAATAAGCTGAATCTCAACCGAAACAATTCGGCAAATTAAAATTGATTGAAAAAACATGTACTGCCCATATAAAATCCAAAAATGCCAAATAATTACTGAACGCAAGGTCGTATACTTATTTCGAAAAAAAAACAGCTTAATCAAAAGCAATAAAAATAAGAATATTGAAGATACATAATTAATCAAGCAACTAGATCTAACAAAAATTAAGAAGATAGTTTGAAACACCCAGACAAAAGAACACAAAATAAGCATAGGAAGAAAACGTACAAGAAGTAACGAAGCCGAAAATATCTGAGCAGAAACCCTTCATGCTGAAAAAAGACAAAAATTTAAAATGAATAAAAAAGTTTGAGGACACTTAGCCAATATAAATTTAGTTTTTTGAAGAAAAAATATAGATCTAAAGCTCTAGAACAAGTTATGATTGACAGTTTTTTGAAAATTAACCCAAATATAGAAAATGATAACTAGGTAAACTTGTTATTTTACTTGGAAATCTGATTAATTAATTAAATACCGCAAGGATAAAAAAATAACATTAAGAATTAACAACTCATTCTCTGAGTAAACAAATGGAACACCGAAAAAAAAGAACCTTTGGAACACTTTTTCAATTTTCGGAGAAGTTTAAGAATCTTTTTTTGAATCTTTCAAAAAAACAAACTGAATTGAAGAAAACCGCGTCTAGAGGGACTTGTTTTTTCTTTCCGTTGGGAATTCTGAATTCATTCAAGTTTTTTCGCTCCATTTGACTTCGTTCTACCATATGAATCCGAATTGAACTCACAAATTAATTTTCAAAAGAACCCTCGAAAAAGCTAATTGAGACGTCTTTTTGAGCAAAGCGGAAAAATTAACACGACCTAAGCAAGTGTTTTCAGTATGTTCAATGAAACTTAAAATCCGCAACATAGCATCATCGCGTCACCAAATTTTAGAGAAAAAAAAGACAGTAAAACTTGAGCTCCGCTTTACTTCCTCTAATTTTCAGATGAACTAGATTATGAGGGAGCATAAAACGTTAAATCTGTTACAGCAATTACAATTGCTTTTTAAATTTAGAGAGTAAACAAATGAGAACAATTTTAATTTCACAATCTGTCATGCATCATCGTCAGCTCATCTATTTTTCAAAAACTACGTCCCAAAATTTCAGTTAGGGTAGGCATTACGTCACGTATAAATACAAACTGAAGCAATTTAATTTCAGATATTAGGGCATCGCATACTGCAATTCGATTACAGAAAATCGAGACATATTGTTAGAATAGCGGTCAGTAACTGAAGGAAACGCACAAAGGGATGATTTGCTGCCGTGTTCAACTACACCTTTCAAAAGCCTAAGCGAGACAAGTTGCGAGACAGCGCGGAGAGCTTCAATGAGCAAATATCAAATTAATTAATTAATTAAATCAGAGGGACGTATCATCATTTTTTTCAACGAGAAGATTAACTTTCTGCAACATAACTTTAGCAAAAAAATATCAAGGAACAAATACACTTGCATTTTATAAAATGCATCAAAATCAATGTTTCATCATCATGAAAGTTTTGAAACATTGGATCTAATCAAAAACATTTGATCCGATATGAAAGATCCAAATTACACAATGGTAGCAACAACCAGTCAAAATTCACTTTCTCTGCGCTGACTTACAAATAGGTAAGCCTCTAAATCACTTCTGCTTTTGAGTTTCAGAAACCTTTCATGATTGGCAAGTTTCTTTAAAATAACCCAATTTGAGAAAAATGGGTAAATTTTTTATTCCTTAGGTAAATAAAGAAACTGGAATCCACTTTCAAAACTAGTCATTCACGTTGCTTCGCTATTTGCACTCCTTAGTTGTAAAGCGTCATTGCCTTCCTTTAAACTTATGAAATAGAATTCAACGTGAGAAAAGATAAGAAGCAAACTGCAAAAAATCAAAGAGTCAGCAAGTTTGAAGACTTTTTCCTGAACAATTTATTCCATGCGTCATATATAAGAAATTTTACTATGTTGATTCAAAAATTTAGGACAGGCAAATTTATATTCAGCTATATTTTCTTTTCAGATGAACTAGATTATGACATTTTTCAGATAAACTAGATTATGACATCACATAGATTATGAAATCACACGGCAATTTAAAATGTTAAAATGAGAGCAATGTTTGGATGTACATGTGTAGATTACATTCAGTAAATGAAAAAATATAACTGACTTAGTTTTTTTGAAAAGATCTCAACTTACGAACTTCAAAGAAAGAAATAGATGCCCTTGATGCTCTTTGAATTTCTAAAATACTTGATGATAGACATTTTTTTGATTTTTGCGAAACTATTTTAGTATACAGAGGCGAAGCTAGACTCCGCAATCACAATTTTCAAGCGAAGATGTAGGCTTTTTTCAATAGCCCAAAATTTACTTGACCAAAAATCAGCGGCGAGTATCATCAATTGTTCAACGAAGCGACCAATTTTCCGCATCATAGTTATAGGAAAAATGTCAAGGAAGAGATATGTACTGAAGAGTACTGAAATGCTTCTAAATAGAAGAACCATAATAACTAATGCTCTTAAACTTTGAACTAATCAAACTAAAAGATTGAAATCGTTAAATACTTCTCACGATTCTCCGTCACCATTCCGATTTTCCTTGCACTGCCGTAGAAAAAAGCCTCTAAATCACTATTTCCTTTGATCAATTTAAGTCAAGTTAGATGACCGTTAAGGGAAAAACATCATATAACAGCTTTGAAATTCAAGAAAAACTTTTTTGATTGGCTTTTCTAATTGAACATAGCCAACTGAAAGTTGGAAAAGAGTAATGAACACATGAAAACTGAAAAAAAACCTACTTGTTTTTTCAGAAATCTCCAACTTTTGATTTTCGAAGAAAAAAATAGATGGCCTTAAATTCTCTTTGAATTTCACTAACAATTTATGTTTGACCCTTCTTTGATGAAATTCTCCCAATTTGAGAAAACTGGACCAATAGATAAAATTATTGAATGTTTATTTCGCTGGGTAATCTGATAATCAAATTCAACTTTTGAAACTAAAAGTCGATCACGTTTTTCGAGACCTTTACAAATTTGCTGTTCGATTGTGGAGTTTGCCTTCCGTTTAACAAAAAATGAATTAAACTGGAAAATCTCAAGTCAAACCGCAGAAAAACAATTTAAAGCGTGAACAAATATTAAATTTTCCTTAAAAAATCACCAAGACCTATATAAGAGTATGCACTACCTTCATCACTCTAAAACATCATAAGAATAGCACACAAATTGCATAAATCCGTCATGCGTCAGTAAACAATTCTTCAAGTTCCAGATGAATGAGATAAAAAACGTCACGTATGACTTATGCAAAATATCAGGTCTCAAAATTTCCAGCAAATACATATTGAGCGAACTTAGCTTGAGAAATGATGTTACCGCTTACAACAAAACTATTATAGAAAAGTGAAACATGTAAATAAAAATTCAAGTCAAGTAAAAATACGAATGATTTTCTTGGTTGCTGAAATTAAGCTTTCAAGGGACGAAGTTTCAGAAGACAAATTATGTCACCGTTTAAAAAAAAATTTTTTAGGACTGATGTTATTTTGGTGAAATTCGCCCTTATGATTTAATCAAAATAATATTGATCTAACATTGATCTAACTTGGACACAATTTCGATACACATAAGTGAAGATGCACTCCGCAAACAATGTACGAGACGCTAAGATGTTTATTTTCAATCAGCCAAACATCAAGAGAAGTGACCAAAATTCAGAGATGTGTATCATCATTTGTTCAACGAGAAGATTAACTTTCTGCATCACATGTTTTGCAAAAAATAGCCACAGAATCAAGATATACATCAAACTCATCATTCTTTCTATCGAAGATCCATCATTATAATTGCCCTTAAAATAATCAAATCTAATCAAAACATTGGTTCCAAATAAAAGTTTCAAGTCGCAAAATAAAAGATGACCTACAATCAAGCACTGTTCACATTTCCCTAGTGCTGACGTACAAGTATGGATATCTCCAAATCACTATTTCCTTCCATTTAAATAACTTCAACTTAGTTAAATTACTGTTAAGAACGAAGATTCAGATAAATTAAAGATCAATTGGTACGAACCTTTTTGCATGCCACAGACGCATAATCCAAATCAAGACGCGACAGCAATTTGTCGCATTCTACCAGGTGGCTGGCCACTTTCTCATGATGAATAACTTGTTTCGGAAGTATATGTCGCAGATAGCGTGGAACCGACTGAAATAAAATATCTCTACTTTATTGTTTGACATCGCGGTTCAGCTTGAATTATCAAATACTAATTAGCTAAAAATTCGCATGTAACCAAACCGGAACAACAAGCAAAAATTGATCTGCTTCAAGGACTAAAAAACAAATAATACCTGACAACTTCCTTCTTTAAGCAGCGAGTCATCCGTTTCATGCGAGCAAGAAAACTCATCGAAACCATTTCTTTCGTGATTTTCATTGCCGTGAGAATGATCATCATGACCAAATGAAGGGACTTTATGGTAATGGATTCCATGGTCGTGAGAATGGCCTTCATGCTCGTGAGAATGGCTTTGAGAGTGGCCTTCGTGGCCATGAGAATGGCCTTCATGGTTGTTAGAATGGCTTTGAGAATGGCCTTCATGGTCGTGAGAATGGCCTTCATGGTCGTGAGAGTGGCCTTCGTGGCCATGAGAATGGCCTTCATGGTTGTTAGAATGGCTTTGAGAATGGCCTTCATGGTCGTGAGAATGGCCTTCATGGTTGTTAGAATGGCTTTGAGAATGGCCTTCATGGTCGTGAGAATGGCCTTCATGGTCGTGAGAGTGGCCTTCGTGGCCATGAGAATGGCCTTCATGGTTGTTAGAATGGCTTTGAGAATGGCCTTCATGGCCATGAGAATGGCCTTCATGGTTGTTAGAATGGCTTTGAGAATGGCCTTCATGGTCGTGAGAATGGCCTTCATGGTCGTGAGAGTGGCCTTCGTGGCCATGAGAATGGCCTTCATGGTTGTTAGAATGGCTTTGAGAATGGCCTTCATGGTCGTGAGAATGGCCTTCATGGTCGTGAGAATGGCTTTGAGAGTGGCTGCGGGAATTGATTTCATCATCATCGCCATCAGGAGAATGGGAATCATGATCGTGAGAATGCTCGTCATGGTCAGATTGATTTCCATGGCCATGAGAACGGATATCATCGCCCTGAAGACTTGTTTCTTTTTCTTCGCTGAAATCAGTAATTTTTACAGGATCAGGTTTAACTCCGCTCTTCGACAAATGATCCTCAACAATTCCTTTGTGCAGTGTTTCATGAACATCTTCAGGTGTTGGCTCTATATGATTTTGAAGGTTTGTCGTCAGCGTTGTTTGAGCTTGCAACTGCCCATCGTCAATTTTTGCAACGCCCGGTTCATCAAGCGCCAAATTATCCTTTGATGCATTTTCTACAGAAAACAAATCAGATGACAATCTTTCAATGCTGATATTAACCTGATGCTGAAATGCGCAACTTGCGTTGGAGACGGTGAGCTGATTATAAAACACTGCAGCCGCACTACATTTTCCTACTTTTTTCCGCCCACGCCCCAACTATTGGAGTTAGAAGAAACTTTGATGCAGTAAGTCTTGTTCGCCTGACTCTAGGTATCTCTAGGAAAACTCTGGGGCTAGGATTGGTCAGAGATCATACTAAAGCCCGGTTGATTGGGATGTGCATTCCAAAAAGAAAATCCAAAAATATGCCTGTCGAGAAAAATGTATAAACTTCTGGGCCTAATTCAATTGGATTTTACCGTAATTTGGCTCTTTTATTTTTTAACAAAACTGTTTTAGCTTGAAATGTTCGTTTTTTCAAAGAACAGAGCCAATCGAAGATTGGAAAAGAATAATGAACGCAAGTAAACTGAAAAAAAACTGACTTGTTTTTTCAAAAACCTTCAACTTTTGACTTTCGAAGAAAAAAATAGATGACCTTAAAGTTTTTGAATTTCTAGAAAAATGTTTGATTGGCGCTTTTTTGATAACATTAACCCAACTTGAGAAAATTGAAACACTTAAAAAAAAGTACATTCTTCGACAAACCAGTGATCTTTAAAAAAAATTTATCTACATCGCAGCTGAATCGTGCATCAAAGCTTCTTTATGTTTTATGCTAAAAACACTTGAGACTAAACAAACTTGGGCGAATGAGCAGTCAAAGTTTTTAATTTATTACAAAATAAAAAAATAGCTACATTTGAAGAAATCCAGAACTTTGCCGCTTTAAATGACAATTAATTTTTTTGGGGTTCACCCTCTTAAATTAACTCTCTTTTAGTTGCGGTCAATTAAGCTTAGTGGGTCTGCGAATCGATGTGAAGTTTCAGCCGTTTCTCAGAACATTTTTTTAACGAACTTAACGAAGTTGGGAACTTAACTCTGTTGGGAACTTAACTAAGCTCTCGGTTTGGTTTTGGGGACTGAAGTATATATATATTCCAGAAGTTTTCGCAAATTTCAAAAATGTGTATATATTTGATTTTATACTAAACCAGTTTAATTACTCGAATTGAATTAAATTTGAGGGTAGCCTCTAAATGGGGATTTTTATGTGGCATTTGCCTATCCTCTCCTTTATTGTACTGTCTAAATTAGATACACAGATGCACAGCAGAGCTTCGGACCGATACGTAACAAAGCCTCTAAGTCGTAAAACGTTTCAAACATTTCGAAAAAAGTAGATCTATCTGAATGAAAAAAGCTAGTTTCAAAAAACATGCCAAGTCAATGAAATTGGAAATTAGCAAAGTAAGAAAACTTGAAAAGCATTAAGTCAAAAATACCTAGACAGAAACCTTCTAAGCCGAAACAAATCAAAAAAATACAACGAAAAGTTTTCGAGCCCCTCCCCTCAAAACACACACATACACACAATGCAGGAAAACGACGGTCATCAACCGTCGCTACGAGATGCCATTAAGTCGATATAATATAAGCCGAAACTTATCAATCCAAAAAAAGCGGAACGAAAAAAAGCGGAACGACAAAAAAATTAAATGGGTTGGTAAAATTACAACCTAAATCAAAAAATTTATGCCGACAAGGACGGATATTCAAAATGCTAACATGCTATAAAAATGTCTGCTACAGTTTTTCCAACATAGGTGAAGCAGATTAACGAGTCCAGGAGATGAGCCTTGTGAGCAAAGTTACTTACTGTTGAAAAAATCTAATATCCGATTGTAATACCCTTGCTTATCGCAAGGATAAAAAGTAATGATGAAGATAATTACGTAACTTTTTCTATGTACTATAATTAAGGAGAAACAAGGCTAGCCGGTTACTGTGCAAGTAGCACAAAATGTTCCAACCAGTCTTTAAAAACTAAAACAAAATTAATTTGCCAATTAGTGTCGTGAGCAAAAAAGTAGAACTACTGAGCAAAAAAGTAGAACTTAGGCATTTTCGTCTGTAATTGTAAAATATGCAAATTAGAAAACAATTTTTGAAGACAAATAACAAGAAAAATAACAAAAAAATTAATTTTTTTTCCAAAGTTTTTGATTCCTAAGATGAAGCTGAAAACGCCAAAAACTAACTTCATTTGAGTCGAATTAAATTTTCAAAGCTTAAATTAAGCATTCACCGGGAAAACTTATTTGCAATTTTTTGATGTCGTTCGAATCACCAGGTACTATGTAGAAATGCATATCATATTCAACCCAATGCTTTAAACAGCTCCGGATTCGTAGTTTTATCTGAGGAAAAGACCAACTCTTATGCAGTTTCAGAGCTAGCTTTTGGCGGTTGGAGTGTTCGATTTTATCAAGATCAGTTCGAATTCAGTTGGTAATTGGAAGTAAAATTACGCTCTACAATTAAGAAAGTTTTTCTGTTCAAATAAGTTTTTCTGATGATTTTTGAATTAGCAGCTGTGTTCAGCTGTTCTATGCTATTTAGACAGCAGCGGAAAACAGGCTAGATGTTATGTTGGAATTAATGTGCTCTCACAAGTAATTTTTTTTGCAGAAGAAAAGCTTATTTCCAATTTTGTTTGTGTAATGACCTCACTTGGAAACAATTTCTCATGATTATTATGATTATTATTATTATGATTATAATTATTATTATTTTTATGGTTATTATATCATTATTGTTATTATGATTATTGTTGGGATTATTTTTAAAATAACTGGTTAGAGTTGTTATCTGTTCCTTTTTTTTTTGCTTAGAGCCTCTAGAGACACTGAAGTTTTCACCCAAGAAAGGATCCAACTGCAACTTCTTTCTAGATCGTTCACAGATGAATTCGAGTGACTTCCAAGAAGACAGTCTGCTGGACATGATGTTCACTAGCCCTAAGAGGATCATTATGCGGGTGAGTGTTATTCAAAGTTCGGCTTTTTCTTTAACCAAGTATAAAAACTGGTTCATTTAATTTTGATGTCAAATGACTGAACTGAAGGAAATAAAAATGAATAAATCGAATATGATTTAAGATAACTCGATCTTTAAATGTCAAAATTGCCATATTAAATTGTTGTGAAGATATTTTTTCAGGGCATACGTTTTTTGTATAATCTTTTTCTTTGACTTGCTCATTTCGTTTTTGCGTTGAAAAATCAACTGACTCGATTTTGAAATTTGTTTTTGAAGTCTCTTCAAATTTAAAAGGGATACAATGCATTATTTTTTGTTTTGAAGTAGATATAAGTTGAAAAAAATTAGTATGGGACATTCGTCACTGAGCTATTTGCTGTCATTACACTTGCGACTAGCTAGTGTATTAGTACTACGAATCTTCTTTTTTCTAACCTAATTCGCAAATAAAAGTGTTCACTTAAATGGAAATTTCACTGTAGCATTGCAAATTGCATAGCATCTGTACTCTGCTTTTTGTGACTAGTGTTTGGAAGTAATTAAGCGTCCTTGGCTGAGTGGTTAGTGCGTGAGACTCATAATTTTTAGGTCGCAATAGCTAGTAGGTTCAAATCAAAGATGTAGCCAAATTTTTACTAATTCGAGGCTTATTTCTGCTTTTTCTTATTGCACTTTATAGAGCTGCTTTTTCCGTGTTCTGGCTAGTGTGTGCTTTGCCTCTGTGTATCTTGTGTTTTTTGGGTGTAGTATAATTAGGTAATGTGATCCAATGAGAGACGTTTAACATGAGAAATTTTGTTCAGGGTCAATGTTTTTTCCCGGGAGATTCTTAAAATTGATCGCGCTTAACTTTAAATTTTTCGATGTTTGGTTTTTTGTTTCTTTTTAAGTTCAATTCATATTTATTTGAAAAAAGGACGGCAAATTACGCTCTCAAGTTTAGAAGAAAACGTAATTGTTCCGACCATTGAAAACGGTGAGGGACTTAGAATTCGCCTGTTTTAGTTTTTTCTTTTTGTTTTCCACGCAAAATCAGCTACATGAAATAATTATCGGACCGGTTTGAGTGATATATCATATTAAAGCCTTTTCAGTCGTGATTCGATTGACATCAAAAATATTTTGAAAAATTTTTCCCAGTGTCGAAAAAAGCCGGTTTGAAATTTTTGATTTTTTGTCTTAATTCGAGCAAAGAAAGCAAGCGAGCAAGCTTAGCACAGCTGCATTATCCCTAATTCAAGACCATTAAACCTAATTGTAAATAAGTAAAACTAGTTTTTGGAGTTTTTTTGCTTCATTTTGGGAATCAAAAACTTCAAAAAAAAATGACGTGCAAAAAGTTTTGAAACATTTTTTTTTTAATTTTTCAGTTTTCCTAATCAATTTTCTACAAACATTTTGGTAGAATTTGCCTATATTACTATAGTTGTCTAACTTGACTAAATTATATTATTACGTCACATCCTTCTATTACACCAAGCAGAAAAAACTAGATTAATTTGGAAAAAAAATTTCTGAACCGTAGATTTTTATAGATTATGGTCGGATTATTCTCTGCTACTCGCACAGTAACCGGATATCCTTGTTGTCTAATTTGCCATGATTTTGCAATTTCAATCTCAGGGGTCTTTGGAGTCTTCTGATGTTTAAAAAATTGAGAGAATCCGGGATTCGGTATATTAATTTCGCCTGACATTCTGAAAACGCTTAGCGGAATACCAGGTACTATGCAGAAATGCATATCATATTCAACCCAATGCTTTAAACAGCTCCGGATTCGTAGTTTTATCTGAGGAAAAAGACCAACTCTTATGCAGTTTCAGAGCTAGCTTTTGGCGGTTGGAGTGTTCGATTTTATCAAGATCAGTTCGAATTCAGTTGGTAATTGGAAGTAAAATTACGCTCTACAATTAAGAAAGTTTTTCTGTTCAAATAAGTTTTTCTGATGATTTTTGAATTAGCAGCTGTGTTCAGCTGTTCTATGCTATTTAGACAGCAGCGGAAAACAGGCTAGATGTTATGTTGGAATTAATGTGCTCTCACAAGTGATTTTTTTTGCAGAAGAAAAGCTTATTTCCAATTTTGTTTGTGTAATGACCTCACTTGGAAACAATTTCTCATGATTATTATGATTATTATTATTATAATTATAATAATTATTATTTTTATGGTTATTATATCATTATTGTTATTATGATTATTGTTGGGATTATTTTTAAAATTAACTGGTTAGAGTTGTTATCTGTTCCTTTTTTTTTGCTTAGAGCCTCTAGGAGACTGAAGTTTTCACCCAAGAAAGGATCCAACTGCAACTTCTTTCTAGATCGTTCACAGATGAATTCGAGTGACTTCCAAGAAGACAGTCTGCTGGACATGATATTCACTAGCCCTAAGAGGATCATTATGCGCGTGAGTGTTATTCAAAGTTCGGCTTTTTCTTTAACCAAGTATAAAAACTGCTACATATAATTTTGATGTCAAATGACTGAACTGAAGGAAAAAAAATGAATAAATCGATTATGATTTAAGATAACTCGATCTTTAAATGTCAAAATTGCCATATTAAATTGTTGTGAAGATATTTTTTCAGGGCATACGTTTTTTGTATAATCTTTTTCTTTGACTTGCTCATTTTGTTTTTGCGTTGAAAAATCAACTGACTCGATTTTGAAATTTGTTTTTGAAGTCTCTTCAGTTTTAAAAGGGATACAATGCATTATTTTTTGTTTTGAAGTAGATATAAGTTGAAAAAAAATTAGTATGGGACATTCGTCACTGAGCTACTTGCTGTCATTACACTTGCGACTAGCTAGTGTATTAGTACTACGTATCTTCTTTTTTCTAACCTAATTCGCAAACAAAAGTGTTCATTGAAAGTGTTGACTTATGGAAATTTCACTGTAGCATTGCAAATTGCATAGCATCTGTGCTCTGCTTTTTTGTGGCTAGTGTTTGGAATGAATCAAGCGTTCTTGGCTGAGTCGTTAGTGCGTGAGACTCATAAATTTTAGGTCGCAATAGCTAGTAGGTTCAAATCAAAGATGTAGCCAAATTTTTACTAATTCGAGGCTTATTTCTGCTTTTTCTTATTGCTCTTTATAGAGCTACTTTTTCCGTGTTCTGGCTAGTGTGTGCTTTGCCTCTGTGTATCTTGTGTTTTTTGGGTGTAGTATATGTAGTTAATGTGATCCAATGAGAGACGTTTAACATGAGAAATCTTGTTCAGGGTCATTGTTTTTTCCCGGGAGATTCTTAAATTTGATCGCGCTTAACTTTAAATTTTTCGATGTTTGGTTTTTTGTTTCTTTTCAAATTCAATTCATATTTATTTGAAAAAAGGACGGCAAATTACGCTCTCAAGTTTAGAAGACAACGTAATTGTTCTGACCACCATTGAAAACGGAGAGCGACTTAGAATTCGCCTGTTTTAGTTTTTTCTTTTTGTTTTCCACGCAAAATCAGCTACCACAAATAATCATCGGACCGGTTTGAGTGATATATCATATTAAAGCCCTTGCAGTCGTGATTCGAACGAGATCAAAAAATTTCAAATATATCACTCAACCCAGTCCGATGATTATTTGTAGAAGCTGATTTTGCGTGGAAAACAAAAAAGCCTGCTCGCTTGCTTTGTTCGTTCGAATTAAGACAAAAAATCGAAAACTTCAAACCGGTTTTTCTCGACACTGGAGAAACTTTTTGAAATTTAGTGTGGTTCGAATCACGACTGAAAGGGCTTTAATATGATATATCACTCAACCCAGTCCGATGATTATTTGTGGTAGCTGATTTTGCATGGAAAACAAAAAGAAAAAACTAAAACACACCCGAATACAAAGTTCCTGCCCATTTTCAATGGTCGGAACAATAAATTCTTTGTTTCTACCGTTCTTTCAGCCGTATGCACCATTCAAACCGTTTGGAAGTTTTCTGGAGTACCCGAAATTTTCAAAACAAGTCACATGTCAACACGTCTTGAGCGCTAAAATATTACAAGCTATCAACCTTACCTTCATTAGTAACTGAGGCTTCGTTCGACGTTACTTCTCCCTGTGGTGTTTGAGGAGCTGCATTATATGATTCCACAGCTTCTTCTGTCTGAATAGGCTTCACTTCTTCAACTACTTTCTCATCAGAAATGCCATCTAAAATTCAGACCTCGCTTGAGAAACTAACTGAACAACTTTTTTCTGAGTTAACATGCTTTTCTCACTGAGATATACAGACACATTCTTGCCAGTTAAGATTTCACAATAATTCAGTATTCTAAAGATTTTTGCAGCAGCTGAAGTTTTAGGATCTTTGAGTTAAATAACCGCAACTCATGAATATTAGCCAAGCAACTGAACTGAAACAGTATTGGGTTCGAAAAACATTCAAAGGCGAGTTAATTCACCTTCACGTTAATATTGATAACGCTAAGCGTCATGCACATACATGCGTGATTTGAGGGAGTAGGAACCACAAGCACTTTTACACTACACTACACGAAAAACGTACCAGTGGTGGAGTTTGGTTGACAAAAATAGGGTAACAGGGCACAGAACCATTCACCGATGGCTTCCAACCACTCTAGACATAAAAGAGAAAACCCAACATCACCAGGAATTACAGAAGGGACTCAATTGCATTTCAACAGCAGAAAAAAACCATAACCATGTGACTCTTAGAACCCACCACCTTTATTGATAACAAACTGTTGAATTTATGTTACATTGATTACTTTTTTAGAGATGACTTTCAGTGGAACTCGAGTGCAGCTGTGAGTGTATTGTGACCCTTTAGAGATGGTTCGATTCAAAATTAGGGTATTAAGGAAAATGTGAAGATATTATACATGTCATTTCCTTTTCTTACGTGACATTTGATGCTTTACACGTGACATTTCACAATTCCAACTGAGATTTGACCTTTATGAGTCTGCCATTTTCTAGATGCAGTTGACCTTTACCGTGTTCCAATTAACCTTTACCACGTGACATTTGACCGTTCCCACCCAAGTGACCCCCAGCCTTTCTCAGTATGACGTGACCTCTCCAAGGTAACAATTACCCTTTCCCACGTGAAGTTTGATCTCGACCCTTTTTTGTTACCTTTCAAACGGGCGTGCAATGGCATTCCAGAGTCTACTGAATTGGATGAGTGCGTTTGGACAATATGGGGTTTTACTTGGTCAGACGAAGCTGCGACTGCCAGTATTTTGGCGATTGATGCCGCTTTCAGGTAGAACTGACCCGAGTTAAACACGAAGTCTGATGTCGAGATATTCGAAGAGTGGAGTTGTTTAAACAGATCTGAAAGAAACTGCAGCGTTAACTCAGAATCGTTATCCATTTCAGTTGGTTCGGACGATGCTTCTTTTATTTCCAACTTTGAACTTAACTCGTGCATTTCAGAATCAGGTTCAATTTCAGTGTCAAATCCGAAGCCAAATTTAGATTCGTTACAGGAGTAATTCAAGATATCCTCAACTGTTAAATTTGCGAAACTAAGTCTCATTTCTGTATCGAAGCTTCCTAATTTCTTTTCAAAGCTGAAGTTAGAATGAATTATGTCTGCCGTAACTTTAGCATGAGTTTGATTTTCCTTCAAATTTATCTCCGTAGAAACGTTGCTGTGAACACTCTTAGTTACACTAGTTTCTTTCAATTGTTCACGACTATCATTTTTGGCTTGCCCTATTTTGGCATTTTCTATAGTATCAAGAGCTTCGGATTTCATGGATTTGTCTGGAATTGGTGCAGAGGATCTTAGGTCTAATGAACTTCGCTGCTCAGTATGTTTACTTGTTTTTTCAGTGCCTTCTAAGTTTTCATTAGTCTTCTGATCGATAACTGTAGCCTCATCTTTGCTTTCAATTTTCTTTTGCTTCATTCCTAGATCTTGTGTCTTGTCCTTAAACTGATCTTCATTTGCTAGCGATGATGTTTCTGAGATTATTTTGTTAATCTTAACAGTATTATTTGAATTCATTTCGTTCGTCGTTGGCACTGTTTTGTTCTGAATTAGTTTCTTTTCATCTTCATTAGATAATATAGACATATCTTTCACATTTACCAACTGATCAGTAGAGAATGATTCGTTCACGACAGACAAATTTACTCTCGTAAGAAGAGTTTCCGACTGAGGTATTTTTGAATGACGAAAAAATTTCACCGAGTAATACTTTTCAAGCATGCTCGAGTTTTCGAAACATTTTCTGTCGACTGAAAATTGAGCTCTTTCAACGATCTCGAAATATTCGGTTTTGATACTTACATTAGTGCTAGATTTTTCATCTGCACGTAAGTGATTAGATTGCAGAAACAGTTCGAGGTAACTTTTCTCGAGCATCGTTGAATTTTCGAAACATTTGTCGTCAATAGAAAATTGATCAAACATTTCTGTTTCATTAACCAGTAAATCTGCCGAACTAACAGTTAGATTGACTTCAGACTTGCTTCCGAGTAAATCTATGGTAGTTTTGAAGAATTTTTCCAAATAAAAGTATTCGAGCATGGTCGAGTTTTCGAAACATTTATGGTCAGAAGAATACTCATCCGTTACAGGTTTCGAATCATGACTCTGGTTTATAGCTTTGATCCAGCTAAAAACATCGGAGGGATTTGCAGTGGATATGCTGAACCTTCTGAACTTGTAAATTTCCAATGATGTTGCGTTTTCAAAACACTTTTCGCCAACATCTAAAATGCCTTTTTCCATTGAATTGGTAGCATCAATTTCCCGTTTCCTCTCTTCAGATTCATTTTCAGTCTTCGCCTCATTTTCTTGGTATTCGCGATTAGCTGAGAACTTTGTGTATCGGAAGATTTGAAAATCGGATGAGTTCACAAAACACAGGTCACCAAATTCAACAAAAGCGTCTAGATTTTGAACTTGAACAGTATTCGAATCAAGTGATTCATTGAAACACGTCGACAATGACAGATTCAGGCTAGTTTTTTCATTCAATTCCTTATAACTACTTCTCGATAGAAATGTTACCAATTGGTACTGTTCAAAGCCGCTACTGTTCGTGAAGCAAAATCTATCGGTCTCAAATATATCTCGATTATTCAACAGCTCAAATTGGTCAAAAACTGCATAACTTCCAGCTATCTGTGAGAAATTGCATCCATCTATTAAGAAAATGTTTTCAGGCGACGATACCTCTGTAAATGTCATATTATCTCCTGCGAGACATGTTAATTCCAGGCCAACAGCTGAACGAAACGGTGAAAAACTTCGGTCAAATAACTTGTCACCATTATTTCGATCACCTTTGGCGTCTTTCGCGCCATCATCAGATGGTATCAAATGAACTTCTAAGTGAAAATTAACCGAGTTATTGTCGTTAAAAGCACACTCTAATTGATGGACAAAACACGTGTTACTAAAGATTTCAAATTTTGTTTCAAGTGAATCATGAGAAACTTCCTGGGCATTTTCACAAGATTCAATTTCAGTATTACCGTAATTGATCGCGTCAGTGAAATTGTCATCAAATGACGAACAAACATCGATTGCGTTAAGATCTAGTAGATGGCACATTTCATGAAATTGTATCAATTCTACCGTCGATTCAGATTCGCTCAGATTAATTTTGTCCTGCATTTCAGTGATATGTGAATCTTCGCCTTCTCCGAACTTAAAACTAGCAAGTACTGGCATGCTAGAATCTCTGGATGCCGATATTGAACTTGTTACATTATCAAAAATGCCACAATATGGCCATAAAACAACCCGTTTGGCCTTCTTTTCATCTTCAGTTCGAATTGTAAATGGGAACTCTTTATTTAGATTTCCAACTGACATACTTTTGTTGATATTCGTTTCAATTTGGTCATCGATAGAGTCTTGGATGATAAAATTAGAAGCATCAACTGGACATGTTAATCGTAAATGATTCTGAAGAAACATCTGGTTATCACAGACGTTACGAAGGGGACTCATTTTTGCATTGCTATGCTTTCGAATCGGGGTTGTCGAAGTTTCATTTTCATCATCTCTTGTTTCGTTAGAATGAACCAACTTAGAAGCATTCATTACATTGATATCCATTTCTCGTATTTCAGTTTTAGACGAAATTTGTTCGTTCATTTTTTCTGATGCCTCAACTTTATTATCGAGCTTATTCTGTTCTACGAAGAGTACACCTGCTAGGCTAGAATAGCTCGTTTGAATTTCGGATTTAGTTTCCGCTAATGCACGAGCAATGTACACTTCCAGTAACTTCAATTCAAGCATAGTTGAGTTGTCGAAACATTTTCCTTCGAACTGAAGCTCACCCCATAAGTCAACTCGGGAACTATTTTGCAACTGAGAAATTCTATCTGCAATACGGTCACGAATATTGAATGAGGTTGGTTTGTCGGTTAAGTTCTCAAGCGAATAACTGTTCTGAGATTTATTTATCAAATTTTTCGAATCAGTTAAATTTTGGCCTTCATCTTCAGATTTTATTGTAATATCTGATTTTTTAGGTAAGCCTGCTTCTAACAGTGCTTCGACATTGGCTTCTTTTGTCAATAACAGTGATTCAGAGGTAACTTCTTTTTCCTGTGATTCAAATGTAACTTCGACCAATGGTTCTGCAATATTTTCAGTAGATTGCACTTCAGTTATTTCTTTAGCCGAATGGATTCTAAGCAGAATCTCTTCGTCTATTTTTGCCAAATCAGCATCCAGAGACTCTAGAATGCCACTTGCAGTCGATTCTTCACCCTCAGTTGGTCTTTCAGGCAGAACTTTTTGATCCCCCAACTGCGCTACGCGAGTGGCAGAAGGCACTTGGTCTTGAAGTGAAACTACCCTTTTTAGTTCAAAAAGCATACAATCAAAGATACAACAACGCTAGCACACTAACCCCTTTGTGTTAACATATAAATTAAGAAATCGATTAGTACGTAAATCACAAAAGTCGCTACAGATTAACTTAATTGCAGGCAACCATAATTAAACCGCAGAGCTTCTTTTTCGTAGAAAAAAATCTGAAATACTCATAATTGTATTTATTGGCTTTTTATGCGTCAAAAGTCTTGGAGCTCTTAAGTTAAAATTGATCCAAATATACTCAGTACGAAAAAGTACTCCTTACCTTGGGTAATTGATTTAGTGCCATTAACTAGCGCCATTATCGCTGAATCAGTAGCCTCCTTGGTATCATTTCTTTCTGAGCCCTCGGAACCACTTGCTGAATGTCCAGCAGATTCCTCAATTGATTTGTCACTTTCTTTTTCTTCTGTTTTAAGTCCAGTTTCAATTTCTATGGCCGCATCAGTTGCTACAACTTGATCACGAGAGATCTCGCCTGTTTCGGTCGCTGAACTTAATGTCTGATTGCTCCCACTTGCATATATTTGTTGCTCTGATTCTGCATTGGATTCTTTATCTGTTTTCCGATCTAACTCTGTTTCAGTGTTAAGGGCCAATTCATCACCTCCCATTTCTTTTTCGGACGTCGCAAATTCTTTAGTTTCTGATTTCGGTTCAACTGTGGACGGTGGCTTCTCTTTGGTTTCTGGGCTCAACTTATCCGAGTTCAAATCTCTGCCAATTGCAGCTTCATTTTGAAATTCAGTTTTAGATAAATCTATTTTAGGAGCTGCGATAATCGGATCATTTTCCTTGGAAGCTGCAACTTTTTCAACTTCATCCTTACGATCTGCAGTAGTTGAGATCTCTTCATTGAATCCTGCATTAGTAGAAGCATCTGTCTTGTAATTTGTCCCGATCGTTGGTCGATCTTGACTTTGAACATTGACTGGTTCCTCTCTGCTTGAAATTGAAGAAGTCTCTTTCTTAACCTCGACAGTTTTATAATCCTCATTCGACTCTGATTTTCCCTCCATCGTGGTTCCCCTTTTTGCAGCTTCATTTGATTGCTGCATTGATTTTCCAGCCGAGTTTTTGCTTTCCTCTGTTGTTACTTTCTCGACACTTTCAACTGATTTCGTTTCATGTTTAGCCTCGTCTCCTGTCGTGATTCCATTATTTTTTTCTACGCTGGCTCTGATTAATGCAATAGCCTCCTAAACAACAGTCCCCATTTGAAACATTTCAAACAAAGGCGAAGCGGAGTTTCGCACTAATTACGATCCCATCGGCCTCAAAACACACATGCACGCAAAAAACTTTTTCTCTTGTAGAACGACTCAAAATGAGTTTTCTAGGCCGAATTATTTTAGGTCAACACCTATCAAGCCAAAAACGAATTTCAACAAACATTTGCGACAACACGATCAAAAAGCAGCTCTAGCAAGTGAAAAAGAATAAGTAGAAACTAGCCTCAATAACGAAGCTACAAATGCTAATAAATTGTCAATTAAATGAGCAAAAGTAGCACCAAATACAAAAAGACAAAATACAGCCTACAGCCAAATTATGTTGCGATATACTTTGAATTAGATAATTTTTGAAATCGAGCTTTTTGTCATTGTTTTCCTGTTTGAAACAAATAACTTTTTTCGGTTCATTTGATGAATTAAAAATGCTTCAGCTGTGTTAACTTTTTACAAATCAAATGTCAAAGCACAAATATTTACGACTCAGGTTAGAAAAAAGACAGTTCGTACTAACACAATTTGCTTCGCAAAGCTAAATACCAACAAAAAATAGGAAAAAAAAACATTAGGAAAAAAGCCGACAGAAACAAATTTTTGCAGCTCTTAACGTTCACCCAACGTGCGTATACAGTTAATACCTTCCAACAACGCTATTACGGAAACACAAGTCAAGTACCCGGTTGCAATAACCTTGCTTATCGCAAGGATAAAGAAATCGAAAATCAAACTGAAGACTTGAGCCAGAAGAACCTTTCCTTAAAAAAATGGAAAAAAGTCATCGCGAACAATATAAGAGTCTGAACTACGTTCATCGACTCTTAAAAAGAATAGTTTACACAGAGGCGAAGTTGCACTTCGCATACACAAGCGAAAGTATGACCAAAAAAGCTACTGGGAAAAACTAAACGAGTAAAATTTTGAGTCTACAAAACTTCAAGTGACGCACGCCAATTATGAGTCTACATAATTGCTAAGTGACGCAAGCCAATTATGACGCATTAGCAGCACCAGTCAATTCAAAAGAAATTTACCAACTAACAAGCCTCAATTTATAGAGCGGACGCATTTTAACTAGTATACGAATAAGTTCATTATAACATCTGACCCTGCCCAGGTAGAAACCCACTTATTTTGCTGCTGGTCCCCTACCCTACTTCTACGCTACAGAAACATGATACCTGGAAGCTAAAGGGCTATTTGTGATATAATAGTCTGTGTTATTATCCTTAGTATTGGCTGTACTTAATAGCTGGATCAAAATGAACACACTTTGTCGCAACAATATTTGCGACTGAGGCTGGAAAAAAAGAAAGTTCATAGTATAACACAAGTTATGCTTGTGTAAAAACTAAGTATTTAGAGATACAGAAAAAAACTACAGTGAGGAGAATCTTCGCTTCGCAAACACTTGCGAGAACACGACAAAAAGCAGCTATATTAAGTGCAATAATAAAATTTAGAAATGAGCCTCGAATTAGTAAAATTCAGCTGCCTCTGAGATTCGAGCCGGCGACCAACAGATTGAAATTCTCACACACTAACCACATAGCCACGAAAGCTTAATAGGCACTAAATACTAGCCTCAAATAAAGCAGAGAACAGATGCTATGCAATTTCCAATGCTACTGTGAAATTTCCAAATGAGTGAACACTTTTAATGAAAACTTTTATTTGCGAGTTAGGTTAGAAACAAAAGAAGTTTCGTAATAAGAAACTAAGCTGATCGCAAGTGTTAATAGTTGTTTACAACCAACATAAAAAAATCAAATACAGAAGCAATTCAAAAGATCGATAAGCTCTGAAAAATTAGTAGGCCAAAAACAGATAAGCCTACAACTGGCCCTGACCTTTCAAAGGAATTTGTTAAACTAGTTCGTTAGCCCGAAAAAACTATGATTACGAATTGATAACGCTTGCGATAAAACAGTAGAGGCTGAGTTGGTAAGACGCTAGGCCTTTAACACAAAAGTCGAGGGTTCGAATCCCGCTTCAGTCATGGTTGGAGGATTCCCAGTATCATCCGCCTCCTCAAGGTGGGACTGGCTAAGGCTAAATGGATGACATCTCTCTCCCCACGAATGAAAGGCCCGATGTAGAACGGAGAAAGTGCCGAAGGCTTATTCAAAAAATTGCACGCATAAACAATAGTCTGAGAGCCATTCTACCATCTAAAACTCAGCTAACAATTTTCATGTTTTCCTGAAAACCACAGCGCAGTCAAGTCAACCAGACTTGCGAACAGTTATACTCTGCTTTGGCTAAAAAAAACTGCTTGTGAGGCTTGTCATTTTCTTTCTTATGTCTAAAATGAAGACATCGCCGACTGTTCTGTGATGTTGCAAAAAAATTTAGAATTTCGTATAAAATGGATTTACCTTGGCAGTCATTTTGACTCTGGACGCGAAATTCTTTTTGATGGGCTTCAAACACTGAGTCAGCTGATTGAGAGAGGGATAAGCAGTGATCATCTCCTGCTCTTTGTTCGATCTGTTGATCTGAAAACATAGCCAACAAACAATAGCAAAGAAAAGTGTGTTGAAGTCACGTAAAATCGAAATATATGAATGCCTTGTCTTGAAACTTCTCCAAAAATACAATAGAGCTCTTTTAAACTCAAGAAGTTTTTGTGATCACCGCTTTTATCATAAAAGTAGCCCAATTACAGAAAATTGGATCAATAGGTAACTTTTTTATTCCAAAAATTAGGAAATATGATTTTAGGATATCTAAAAAATCCACGGAACTCCACGAAAAATAGATTAAAACAAAAAGTCAACAAGGATATCCGGTTACTGTGCGAGTAGCAGAGAATGTTCCGACCATAATCGTTAAAAATCTACGGTTCAGAAATTTTTTTTCCAAATTAATCTAGTTTTTTCTGCTTGGTGTAATAGAAGGATGTGACGTAATAATATAATTTAGTCAAATTAGACAACTATAGTAATATAGGCAAATTCTACCTCAATGTTTGTAGAAAATTGATTAGGAAAACTGAAAAATTAAAAAAAAATTGTTTCAAAACTTTTTGCACGTCATTTTTTTTGAAGTTTTTGATTCCCAAAATGAAGCAAAAAAACTCCAAAAACTAGTTTTACTTATTTACAATTAAGTTTAATGGTCTTGAATTAGGGATAATGCAGCTGTGCTAAGCTTGCTCGCTTGCTTTCTTCGCTCGAATTAAGACAAAAAATCAAAAATTTCAAACCGGCTTTTTTCGACACTGGGAAAAAATTTTCAAAATATTTTTGATGTCAATCGAATCACGACTGAAAAGGCTTTAATATGATATATCACTCTAACCGGTCCGATAATTATTTCATGTAGCTGATTTTGCGTGGAAAACAAAAAGAAAAAACTAAAACAGGCGAATTCTAAGTCCCTCACCGTTTTCAATGGTCGGAACAATTACGTTTTCTTCTAAACTTGAGAGCGTAATTTGCCGTCCTTTTTTCAAATAAATATGAATTGAACTTAAAAAGAAACAAAAAACCAAACATCGAAAAATTTAAAGTTAAGCGCGATCAAATTTAAGAATCTCCCGGGAAAAAACATTGACCCTGAACAAAATTTCTCATGTTAAACGTCTCTCATTGGATCACATTATCTAATTATACTACACCCAAAAACACAAGATACACAGAGGCAAAGCACACACTAGCCAGAACACGGAAAAAGCAGCTCTATAAAGTGCAATAAGAAAAAAGCAGAAATAAGCCTCGAATTAGTAAAAATTTGGCTACATCTTTGATTTGAACCTACTAGCTATTGCGACCTAAAAATTATGAGTCTCACGCACTAACCACTCAGCTAAGGACGCTTAATTACTTCCAAACACTAGCCACAAAAAAGCAGAGCACAGATGCTATGCAATTTGCAATGCTACAGTGAAATTTCCATGTAAGTCAACACTTTCAATGAACACTTTTGTTTGCGAATTAGGTTAGAAAAAAGAAGATACGTAGTACTAATACACTAGCTAGTCGCAAGTGTAATGACAGCAAGTAGCTCAGTGACGAATGTCCCATACTAATTTTTTTTTCAACTTATATCTACTTCAAAACAAAAAATAATGCATTGTATCCCTTTTAAAACTGAAGAGACTTCAAAAACAAATTTCAAAATCGAGTCAGTTGATTTTTCAACGCAAAAACAAAATGAGCAAGTCAAAGAAAAAGATTATACAAAAAACGTATGCCCTGAAAAATATCTTCTCAACAATTTAATATGGCAATTTTGACATTTAAAGATTGAGTTATCTTTAGCCATATTCGATTCATTCATTTTTATTTCCTTCAGTTCAGTCATTTGATTCATTCATTTTTATTTCCTTCAGTTCAGTCATTTGACACCAAAATTATTTGAACCAGTTTTTATACTTGGTTAAAGAAAAGGCGAACTTTGAATAACACTCACCCGCATAATGATCCTCTTAGGGCTAGTGAACATCATGTCCAGCAGACTGTCTTCTTGGAAGTCACTCGAATTCATCTGTAAACGATCTAGAAAGAAGTTGCAGTTGGATCCTTTCTTGGGTGAAAACTTCAGTGTCTCTAGAGGCTCTAAGCAAAAATAGAACAGATAACAATTCTAACCAGTTAATATTAAAAATAATACCAACAATAATCATAATAACAATAATGATAAAATAACCATTAAAATAATAATTATTATAATCATAATAATAATAATCATGAGAAATTGTTTCCAAGTGAGGTCATTACACAAATAAAATTGGAATTAAGCTATTCTTCTGCAAAAAAATCATTGTGAGAGCACATTAAGTCCAACATAACATCTAGCCTGTTTTCCGCTGCTGTCTAAATAGCATAGGACAGCTGAACACAGCTGCTAATTCAAAAATCATCAGAAAAACTTATTTGAACAGAAAAACTTTCTTAATTGTAGAGCGTAACTTTACTTCTAATTACCAACTGAATTCGAACTGATCTTGATAAAATCGAACACTCCAACCGCCAAAAGCTAGCTCTGAAACTGCATAAGAGTTGGTCTTTTCCTCAGATAAAACTACGAATCCGGAGCTGTTTAAAGCATTGGGTTGAATATGATATGCATTTCTGCATAGTACCTGGTATTCCGCTAAGCGTTTTCAGAATGTCAGGCGAAATTAAATTTACCGAATCCCGGATTCTCTCAATTTTTTAAACATCAGAAGACTCCAAAGACCCCTGAGATTGAAATTGCAAAATCATGGCCTGAATATGCAAAAATCAAATTTGAGCGTGAATAAATTTGAATGTTTTTTCCTGAAAAAAATCAAGACTTAAATATCTGAAAATCATTTCGTTCTTTTACAGTTATCGCCAATTAAACAAAATTTAGCCGGGTGATGCTCCTAGGTAGGCTGTAACTATTGCACTTCGATTATTTTCTTCTTCGAATTTTTTTTTCGAATATCATTCATTTTTATAATGCCTACTGGATTTTAAATAAAAAGGAAAGTTGTGAAGATGGCGCAAACTCCCTCGAAGAAATTGATCGCAATGACAGCGCCCAATCGATGGTCGGGACTTTCCTGAGACTAATAACCCGCGTCAGTTCTGATGCCAGCTTCCATAAACGGAGCTAGCAAAAATTAAGGTCGCTTTTAGTCTCTTATCAGGCATCACTTTTGTGGAAACCCGAGGAGATGGTAGACGCATTTATTCAAACGAAGAAGCCAATAAAAAAACTATGCCGATGGATACATTTCTCGCAACCACCGCCGCCGACCACTGACATTCTTTCGCTTGCACGTGTAAACCATACTAATTAATGAGGTGGTCACAGCCCTTAGGCTGACAATGAAAATTGTTGATTAACATTTAGTAAAACACGCAAAAAATTTGGCGGTAAAAATTAAAAAAATAAATAAAAAAAATTCCGAAATTATATGATACAGACATGATGGAAAACAGATAATTACTGGTCAAACTGACAAGAACACTACTCTGCTTCCTCCAACGCAGTAATCGGACCAAATTGACTAAAAAAAGTCGACAAATAATTGTTTTTCGTGGCCTTTGCACTTTTGCTGTTCGAAAGTGGAATTTGGTTTCCTTATAACAAAGGAAACGAACTGAACTTCAAAAAAATCAGAAGTCAAACAGCGAAAAAGTAAAATTTGAGCCTGAACAATTTTCAGGACTTATCCCGAACAAAAAAATTTAAAAGTCATTGCGACGTATATAAGAGTCTGAATTATGTTTCAATTTTTTTGCATTTTTTATTTTTCGAGAACTGTTGTAGAATATGCCTAACTTCTAGACTTACGTCGTTCCGATCCTCTTAGCAATTTACGAACAAAAAACGACATAATTTGGAAAAAGATAGTTTTTTTAAGTTTTTTTTTCATTATTGTGGCCGGAATTTTCTGTTCCACCGGCACAGCACAAGCTAAGCTACACTTTGCTAACAAAATCAAGGAAACGGTCATTTCGTGGCACTTTTGCTGCATAGCAATGACAATTTAATAGCAATTGTTTATCGCCATATGACGAATTTCGAAAGAAAAAATAGATGGCATCAAACCTCTCTGAATTTCTAGAAAAATTTATAATTGAATATTTTTTCATGAAATTAACCCAATTTGAGAAAACTGGATCAATAGGCAAAACTTTTAATTCGCTGGGAAATCTGATAATTAATTTCCATTTACAAAACTAGAAAAATCAAAACTAAGCGTGAACAAATTTTAAGACTTTCTCCTGAAAAACAAAACAAAAAACAGTAAGACCTATTTAATAGTCTTCACACGTTCATTACTCTTAAACACTAGTCACCAATAAGGCAGATTAACGCATGCTATGAAGTTGACAATGCTATGCCGCAAAAGTGCCCTTAATTAGCATTTTTGTTTGTGAGTTGGGTTAGAAAAAAGTCGCTTCGTAATTCAACAATACGTTCGATTCTGTAATAAACTGAATAAAAACCCAACTCGAACCCTTGATCTTCAAGTCATGCGTCATTTTTAACCCCTAAAACTACAGAAGCAAAATATAGCGATACATGCGGCTCAAATAGGCAGTTTTATTATTTAACCAAGATGAATCCAAATCTGCCTCTTTAGGACATCAAAAAAATGTGGTTTTACAGTTTATTACTACGCTCCGCTGGTGATATTTTCTACTTCAATTAAAATCTATCGCTATTATATGTACAAACGACTGAGTTTCAGAATAATTACATTTAAAGCTAAAATTCATTTAAAAAAAATCAAAAACAACTTGGTTTCATCTTTTCTTGGAAGATTTTTTCGTTTTCGTTTTGCGCGGTTGTCGCCCTGGAATGATGCGCACAGTCTCAAGTTGATCTGAAAACAACACTCGTTTGTTCGCTGGTGAAATTGGAGGCAACTTTATTTCTCTGTCTTCGTTCAGTATAAGTGGCGCAGGTACAATTCGGAGCGTGATTGCGCCTCGATTGGAACTTGAGACCGTGAAATCATTAGATCGCGACCCTGATTCGGATTGCACGAAAGCTGTGTGTATGACAGCGTGATAAAGAGCATGGCCAAATTCAAAGCTATGAAATGTGGTAACATACGACTTCGTGATCGAAACTCCTTCGGATGTTCGAGGTATTAATTCATTTCTATTCGTCATTAGCTCGTTTTCTGTTTCGATTATATTTGTTTCACCAGCATTTTCCACTATTTTGTTATCGTATTCATAATTTGATTGCTGCTCTACCGATTCATTGTCTAATTCTATTGGCGAATTGGTTCGACTTTTAATGCTAATTTTTCCATCGTCAATTTCAATCTAAACAATTAATTGAAGAACAGATTATTAATAGATCAGCCTAACAGATTATTAATAGATTAGTAGAACAGATTATTAATTATAATCAAACTACTAACCTCCGGCATGTAAATGCTGTAATGACGGATGAGTTTAGCCGGCTCGGATGATGATTCGTCTACAGGGGAGCAAAAATGTCGATGAAATTTTCCAACATGATTCGGTGGAGTTTGCACTGTCTCTTCCCATTCCGGTCTAGGAGTCACTCCTCCGTTGACAAAAATAGATCTCTTTGTCTGCAAGGTTTCAAAAGACTTGAGCCAATCAGATTCTGTTCTGGAAGCTCTGTTTAAACTTGCAACTATAGGACTAGCCCAATCTATTCTCGGAACGGGGTTGCTAGAGTTCGTTTTCGAGTTTGAAGGAGGCGCGCTCAAAATGTGCTTCTTCTTATTTAGACCTTTAAACACACATCTTCAGATAGTTTTTTTAGTAGAATGTTGAAAAGAATTGGAGGAATAAAGGTTACCTAGTGGATCAGTTGCAGCTCCTCCTTGAGAAAAAGACTGTTTGTTCCTTTGCAACTCTTCCGCTGGATCCCTTGCCGTTTTTAAAGCTTCCTCAGTTGGTCCGTTGCATTTTGTGAGAAGCGCCTTTTGGGAAGTGAAATATGGCTGCCACGAAAAAACATTCATTGCGGAAGCGCCAGCTACAGACGTCTGCAGGTCCTGGTGATTCTCCTGGTTGTGATTATGATTCCGGTTTCGATTCTGATTCTGATTTTTTAGCCGGTCTCGGTTTATAAGAGTCGAGTAAAAGTCCGAGTTTCTGTTCGGCTGGAATGATTGTTTATATACACTTTTTACTGTTCTATCATCGTGGATAATGGAGTAAATCTTTTGCCTGTATTCGTCGATTTTCTCTTCAATCAGAAACTTCGACGACGGAGACGATGTTTTACACATTACCGCACGACTGCTGTTCATCTTCGCCAATTTGCAGCAAATTAATTTTATAACCATAAAGTTAGTCAATGAAAATTTATACACAATGCTTCAATAGAAGCCTTTTATGATAGTTTACTCATAGCTATTACATATAGATCGCATTTTCAGTTACCTTCTAATGGCTCACTTAAAGAAGCATAAGGCAGAAAAACAATAAGAACATCATAAAACAACTTACAATAACCGACCTACTATTGATAGAAAACATTTCAAATTATGTGCCATGACTGCTCAAAACAACTTAATTAATCGCAAGCCAAAAATGCACAGATGAACTGAAGCCCCCTTTTGGACTGACTTCTTTGAAAACAAAGTGAATGGAGTAGGCAAATTGGCAAGAAAATATTAAGACTAAGAAAAAGTAAGAGGGATGCTAGTTTTCATGGACAACAACTGAGCAATCTAGATCGCGAAGAAGGATTACAATTACCGAAGACGAACCGAAGCTTCGATCTTTTGCAATACAGAAAAAACGGATGTTTTTATTTTCGAACACCAAAAATAAGCATCAAGATAACAATTTGCTGTTATAAAACTCAAGTCAAATAATCTGCAAGGTTTATCAAATCTATAGCGCGGTAATTTATCCGATAAAATGAGATGAAAGGGATTTAGTCGGAACACTAGCCATTGAATTTTTAAGAATTTTTGTTAAGAAATGGGATTTTGACCTATAAGAAGTGCAATACAAAAACGCTACAAGAAGTTCAATTCCGAACGCTATGTAGACAATGACAAATTTTAAGAAGAAGCAACTAAGCCTACTTATCTTGGGTTGAAGCTTATTGCACCAAACGTCAACTGAAAAAATAATTTCCCGTAGAACCGAAACTATTTTTTTTTCATGAAAAACTTTGAAGTATAAATTCTATTCTAAGAACTTCAGCATTTTGTGCGATCCGGAATCAAGCATTAAACTTATGCTTCCCTTGGAATGACCCCAAATTAGGTCCCTAAGACAATAAAATATAAGTCAGAATCATTTAACCGAATATAGTTTTTAAACGAAAAAAACAGCAAAACATCAAACAAAATATAGAAGTCAAAGCTAGTTATATTAAAAATTGCGGTAGTAATTCTAAGCACTAAAAGCAATTAAATTGAAAATAGTGTGCAAAAAAAATCATTTCAACGATGAGACAACTAAGTCGACAAAACATAAGCAGGCAAACTCGAGGTCGACAATTTTTTGGAAAGGATATTTCCAGTTTAAGCAAAAAAGTTACTGTTCAGATTCAAACCAAAGACCTTGGGCGTCCCACATGTTTTCTTTCTTCGCCTACAGGCAAAGTGTCGGACACGCATAAAAATTTGAATTCCTTATGAATCAAGCTAAAAGTGAATCAAGAGATTCTGTTAAACAAGTTGTAAGCCCGAAAAAGTCTATATTGCGATTTGATAACTCTTGCTAATCGCAAGCGTAAAAATTGAGCATGTCAGCTCAGTGAGTGAATTATTTAATTAGTTACATATTGATCACTTTAGGAAAATCTAATTCCCGCTTACGAGACATAAGCTGTCACAAGTGATAAACAGCCAACTTACAGTAATCAACGCAAGAATATAGAGCTAAAATGTTTCAAAAAATTTCAAAATTGAAGCACCAATACATGCCTTAAGGTTCTTTGAAAATCAAGATAAAATTATCATCGGTGCTTTTTTGATTTAAAAACCCTAACTTGAGAACACTGGATCAATAAGTAAATTTTAAAACTCAGCTGGAAATCTGAACATTAAAAATCACTTTCGAAAATTAACTTCATCACATTTTTCGTGACCGCTACAATTTTGTTGTTCGATAGTGGAATTTGCCTTCTTTTTGAAAATAAAAATGCACTGAACTTAAAAAGAAATCAAAAGTCAAATCGCGAATCAAAATTGAACGTAAACAAATTTTAAGACTTTTTCCTGAACAAAAAAAAATCACCAAAACCTATATAGGAGTCTTCAATACGTTCATTACTCTTAATACTGATTTTATTTTCTCCCAGTCACAGGGGACCTATCAATATTAGACCGGCTTAATAACAGACCTTTCCAATCAAATTGAAACCCATTTTCGAAATAAGAAGTCGATCACGTTTTTCGTGTTATTTACCCTTTCGCTGTTCGGTAGTGGAGTTTGCCTTCCTTTTAACAAAAAACAGAAGTGAACTGAAAAAGAAATCAAAAGTCAAACCGTCAAATCAAATTTTAAACAGAGGCGAAGCTGCGCTTCGCAAACATTTGCGAAAACACGACCAAAAAGCAGATCTATCAAGTGACACAAGAAAAAGTATAAATAAGCCTCGAATTTGTAAAACTCGAATCAGCAAAAATCTGCGAATCAGTAAGCCACAATATGTATAAGTTATGCAATTCAAAAAATTGCGAGATATATTGAGTAAGAAAATTTTTCAAACGAGATTTTGTTATTATTATGTTGTTTGAAACAAATAGCTTTCTTCGGTTCACATGATTAATTAAAAATGCATCAACTGTCTAAACTTATAACTATTCGAATATAAAAGCACACGTTATCAATAAGCTGTAAAGGTGCCACTAAATTTCAAAGGTGCAACAAAATATCTGATTGCCTTCGATGCAGCAAATTCGACGCAGCAAATATTGTTGCTTTAAGACTTAATCCCAACAAAAATCGCAACAATATTTGCGACTTAGGTTGAAAAAAAGAAAGCTCGTACTATATCATATTGCTTCGCAGGGGTAAATACTTGTTCCTGAAAAAAAAATCAAGACTTATATAAGAGTACTCATCACGTTTAGTACTCTTAAAAATAACTAACGTTTCGGCGCATACTTACTACATACCACCAGAGCAAATACAGATATTTGAAAAAAAAACAGAGCCATATGTTGTTTTAGGGGAGAAGGTAGCTTGAAAAAACCTGTTCTGATCACTCACTTGAGCAATTGTTGTCTCCGCAGACTCCCATCTCTTCAGCTTCAGCCGGGGGGTCACTTCTCACACCACTCCAAGCACAAATCAGCAGCAGAACAATAATGAACATCTTTTCTGGCCTAACAGAACGAGCATTTTAGGGAAAATTGAACATAAAAATCATCATATTCATATTTTAAAAAAAAGCTCATTTGAAAAAATTCCTTTGCTATACAAATCTGCAATGAAAACGTTCTTATGCATTGGAAACGTATAAATACCTGGAAAAAACTCTTCTTAATTCGAAAGATACATATAAAAAAAATTCAGCTCTACGTAAGATTTTTCAATAAAGTTTCCAGCGATAGAAATCTCCAGCGATAGAAATCTCCAGCGATAGAAAATGAAGAAAAAAAATAGTCAGTAACGCAGAAAAATTGAAATTTACAACGATTCACGTGTATCTGCAGCTTCTAAGGGTTTCTGAAAATTCAATACTAACATTTTAGATTTATTGAGAGACGTTTCGATTACAACGAAGGAATTTTAATTAGGGAAAAATTTCACTCCATTTCTGTAGTTGAACTTAGTTTAACTGTGTTGCAATTTTCAAGTGTAAGAAAGAATGTTGGTTTTGCGATGCGCATATGGTATAAAAAACTACATGAATAACATGGATGATATTTTTAAAATGTTGTGGTAGAAAAATTATTTTGTTTTATTTGCTGAGATCTGTATTCCATTTCGGTCTCAATGCTCATTCACGCTCTTGTCAAGCTAACAAAATCGCATTAAAATAAAACAAATACTTTTATAGAGACAGCAAGTGTAGCCGGTTGCTGTGTACGTAGAACAGAATGTATCGACCAAATTTGGAGATTAAAGTTGGAAAAGAAGAGATGCTTTTTCTAAGTTTTGAAGTTTTCTTGGTATCTGGCAGGGACTGAACAGCTCAAGGGTCAAAATGATTAGAACAATGTTTGAGCTATAGGCGAAGCATTAGTTTTCTATGTGGACAAAACCACAATCAATAAATTCCACCCTATGCCATAGCTAGTTCCACTCTCCTTGAGTTCTTATATCGATTTCAGCCAATAAAATCGTCAAAATTCTCAAAAACTTTCAGCGTGTGAATCGGAAACATAAAGTTCTCATGATATTCGGTTTTCTCGCCCGACAACGACGTTTTATTCGAAGAATTTAACTCACCGGCTGGACTTATATGAAGTTCCAGATACTGATACAAAGGGTCCCCTTCCCATGCCCAGGTTAGTGACATGTCCGCTGATGCCATCAAGCATCATTAATCTGAAATCAAAAAATTACTCATACTAGGTATTACACACAGAGGCGAAGCTGTGCTTCGCAAACACTTGCGAAAACACGACCAAAAAGCAGCTATCAAGTGAAATAAAAAAAGTTGAATAAAGCCTCGAAATAGCAAAAACTCGGCTACGTGTAGGATTCGAATCTGCAACCTAATGCAATCAAGAGATTTTGAGTCTCACGCACTATCCACTCAGCCACGCAAGCTCAACCACCGACAAACACTAGTCACAATAAAAGCAGCTACTTATTCTAATAAATTGCCAATGACATTCAGCAAGTGACACCAAATACAAATACACTCTATTTCGCCAGTAATAATTTGGAATATAACAAACTGAAGGCAACCATACTAACTTTGCATGTAACAAATCGCAAGGCATAAAACCACATTATGTAGAAACTATGCATTTCAAAAACCTGCGAGATTAATTGAGTTAGAAAATTTCTGAAATAGTTTTTATTATTGTTATGTTGTTTAAAACAATTCACTTTTTTCGGTTCATTTGATGACTTAAAAATGCATCAAATATGTTAACTTATTACTATTCGAATGTCAAAGCACATGGTATGAAAAAGCTGCAAAGGTGCCCTAAAACAGGCACTAATATTTGCGACTAAGCTAGGGAAAAAAATAAGGTTTGTACTAATACACTCGCTTCGCAGGTGTAATAACAAACCGATTATTTAAACAATATTGTCGTAAAAATTACGAAGAAAAAAAGATTTTAGAGGATGATGCAGACGTTTTTAGAGGAAAAATACCACACCCTATACCAAAGGTTCCACATATTAGAACTATCTGGCGACATCAGTTTTTAACATGAAACTTTCTTTCCGACCCTTAAAAATGGGGAAGAACTTTGATTCGAGTGCATTTTAGTTTTTCCTTTTTTCTTGTTGTTTTCCACGCAAAATCAGGTAACGCAAATAATCATCGGACTGGGTTGAGTGATATATCATATTAAAGCCCTTTCAGTTAAAATTCGAAAAACATTAAGAAATTTCCAAAAAATTTTTACTGGTGTCGAGAGAAACCGGTTTCAAATTTTTAATATTTCTTAATTCGAGCTAATAGGGTTACCGTGTAAAAACTTTCTGTAAAAAAATTTGAATTTTTTTTGATTTTTTTCCGTTCTTTCAAGTTATTTTTCTACGTAAATTGTTCTTAAATCCGCTTTATTTTAATATTACTGTCGAATATGTCTAATCCCCAAATTTTTATTCAGCTCATTTTATCACACCATGCCGAAAATACAAAAAATAATTTGTCAAAAAAAAACTTTTTTTGTAACTTTAAGAGTCTGGTCGGAACATTCTGTAACCGGAACATTCTGTAACCGGAACATTATGTAACTGGAATATTCTGTAACAACAAGTAACCGGCTATCCTTGTTTGATTTTGGCCTCGTTAGAAGAAGCTCACACTTCGTTAACAATGCAAATCGAAAAATCGTTATGTATTTACCTGCTCCAAAAAAATTATAGGCCCGCAACCACTAGCACAACAGAAATCGACATCAAATACACGCCACTTAAATTTACAATCAGAATGAGCCAATCAGAATCAAGAAAAAAATATATTTCAATTGTTTGTTTTCTTATCTCGATTGGCTTTCTGCTTGTCTACTTTATGACTGTCTACTTATTACTACGTAACCATCTGATGAGTAACATGGTCATTCTTTTTGTCGCTTAGAAATAACTACATCAAGAGGATGGGGCATTCAAAAAAATTCCCGATCAATGGATAAACCTTTATGAGCGTAAAAACGACACAAACCGTTGATTTGAAGCAAGTTGCAAAAAAATGTCTTAAAATGAAACCTTACTATTTTAACTGTTTTTACAACCCATTTCAAATTGAAAGAGCTGCAGTACAATTTATCATTCGCTCCTATGATTTGAAGCCGTTGATTTGAAACCGTTGATTTGAAGCAAGTTGCAATAAATGTCTTAAAATGAAACCTTACTTTTTTTACAACCGATTTCAAATTGAAAGAGCTGCAGTACAATTTGTCATTCGCTCCTATCTGAAGCTTATTAGTGGCAGAAGAAAACAGCTGAATAAAAACGAAGAAAAACCTTTATTTTTTATCAATTAAATTCTTTATTTAGAGCCATATTGAAAAAAAAACCAAAAAAACTGTGACAGAAAAAATTCAGCCTGGACAAGTTTCATGGAAAAAACGAAAACACACAGGATGATAATACACAGAGGCGAAGCTAAGCTTCGCACCACTTGCGATACATAACAAGAAAGCCTCTAAGTCGGAAAAAATTGAAAATGTCGAAAAAACTAGATCCATCAAAATGAATAAGGATACTTTTGACAAAAAAAACCGCCAAGATAGTAAAACGTGAAGATAGCAACGGAAAAAATACAAAGCGGTAACAAAGCCAAAAACAGCTCAGCAGAAACCCTTGATGTCAAAAAAAATCAACAAGACTTAATAGGTCCTCTCTCCCTAAAAACACACACACATTAAACTTTTTTAGCTCGTCATATGAAACAATTTAAGGCAAATAAGCCAATATAATAAAGGCCGAAACCTATTAAGCCGAAAAAAAAATTAAAAAAAACAAATCGAAAAAAAAGTTTTCATGAAAATCTATAATTTCTAATAAGATTTTTTTGCGTTTTGAGCAATCTAGAGGGGCGCACAGAAATAACGTTTTCATTCAAAAAAATAGGGCACTTAGTCCATAACATATAAGCCAAAATTATCATTTTGGCAGAATAAAGTTTTTAATCGATTAAAAACAAACAAAAAAGAAATATACGAAGAATAACAAACAGCGGGAAAAAATCAGAACACTAAAAGGAACTATAAAGTATCTTGCGTACAAAAAAACAATTCTACGATGCGGCAACTATGCTGAAAAAACATAAGCAGACAAATACTAATCCAACAATTTATTTACCGTTTGAAAAAAAAACAGGTCCTGTCCAATTCGAACCCAGAAACCATTTAAGCCGATAACGAATTCGTATAATCTGCTTAACTGAACAAAAACAATTAATATTGAATATTTTTTCACAACAGGACAAAAATTACAGAGGCGAATCTGCACTTCACACACTAACGACGAAAAAAAATACAGTAAATTAGCCTTTGAAAAACTTGAGCTCTACGTTATTCGAGCTGCAGACTTCCAGGTCAAGATTCTAACGTCCAGACCGACCACTCAGCCACAAGTGCCTGAAGCTTCTAAACACTAGCAACTAATACGCCACATAGATACAACACATGCTATCAAGTTGCTATGCTATGCATAACACATTAAGGCCCTTTAACTCGCAAAACTGCTCGTCCGGCAACTCTGGCATATGAGCCCGCTTCGAAGAAACATCACGCCACCAAAAAAGTTAGTGTTCTAATTGCAGTGCTCTGTTGTCCTACTTTTTACTGGTAACTATGCATCAGCTCAGCGGGCCTGAAAACTTACTCAGTTGAGCCTAAGATTCATTGTTGAATCAACACCTGTCCCAAGGAGTAGGCTCAACTCATGTGTTCAATTCAAAAAAAATCTGTCCTGATTTAAGAGACAGGGGAATACGTTGTTTGTATTATCGGAAGCAGAGTTGAAGCACTTGGGATTAACCGGAGCGATAATGACCGAGCCAGCAGCGGGCCCTGCGCATGAAAGTGACCATAGTATGAGATACTTTTGAGTGATATCATTCAGCGTATGGGGTACGTACATGTAAATATACTTACACAAAGCTCGTCTAGGGAATTATAAGTGTTTTTTTTAACTATGCGCCATCTGGAATTACTAGATTTTTTACATGGGGAGCGTCGCACCTAGTGCGCGAGGGTCAAATTAGTCTGTGACGACTTTTGCTTTGAAGGCACTTACGCCCGAAATGATCGCTCAAGCTTTCAAAGTAACATGGGAGTTACGTGGTGAGATATTGAGCATCCTGCGGGTACATATCCTATTTTGAAGCACATCGTGATTGTACGAGCCGAAATTCGCACTCTATAATTTTCGATAGAACCCTTTCGATCATCACTGCTACGAGATCAGCTCAAAAAATTCTTTTCTTTAGCGCCAGGTGACTACTGGCTAAGTCGTTTAGCAGAGCCTGATTTTTGAAGCTTGGCTGGTAGTTCTTGTAATTTTTCGTAGTTCTCATTTTATGGAGCTTGGGTGATTAATTAGTAGAAGTTGAATATAGCGGAGGTGGCAATGACTGATTGCTCCGGGAATGTTCTACGTATAATTATGAAACATGAGCTCGGGTCTCTAAATTGACTTTGTTGTCTGCCACTCAAGTAGCTCCTGGTCCATTGGTAGCTTAAATCAGGCAGGAAAGAAGCATTCTGCTTGTCTCTCAGGGGGTGGTGATTTAAACAGTCAAAGGCGTCTCAAAGGCTGCAAGTAGTTCTAATTGGGCCTTTTTCTACCTCCACTCTAGAGGTGGCGTTATCATGAAAAGACACAGTTAGTACACAGTTGGTGTTATGTATGGAGTGCGTAGAGCCACCATGTTAGTCTTCAGAGTTAAAAACAAATAGCCTCAACACAACAGACTCTCTTAAAAATGGAAAGGGACTTGGAATTGTCTCTAAAATTTAATTGTCTTTTACTAAGTTTGAATTGTCTTCAGAGAGCTCTCACAATCTGTGACCATTAAATTTCACCAATCAGAGATCTTCATAGGCAAATACGAAGTACTTTATGACTGAAGAGCCGTGTGGTAGAGTTTCATAGGTCATGAGGACAAATTTGCGGGCAGTATAATTTTCGTTTTCACAGAGTTCAATAGAAACATTTACTTGTTCAGTAGCGTTTCAATTTCTCGGATTGTTTGTGATGGAACATTCAATATCCGAGCCGACACTTTCTTATATTGATTTATATGTCCCCGAACGAAAGTAGAGAACTAAGAGATGAGAAAACGGGAATAACTGATACTAGCTGGCAAGTATGAATATTCACACAGAGGCGAAGCAGAGCTTGCGATACAACAATGAATGCCTATCGGTACTCGCAGATGAGCCAACTAATCGAAAAAAAAGTATTCGCAGAAAAAATCCGAAACCTTGGAATGGAACTGAATTACTAGCATCTTTAGAAATTTAACAAAACGAGGCGAAGCAAAGCTTCGCACAACTTGCGTTACAACACATGCACAAGACAAACTAATCAATTAAATTTTTTTGTCATGATTTCGTCCTGGGAAAGAACCTTTCAATTAAATATGCCAGGAAGTAGTACAACTAAATGTTTAATAAGCATCGAAACAAACTTACACGACGCAATAACAAAGCCGACAATTCTTGAGCAGACACGATGGACCGCAGTACCCACTCAAAACTTTTTCATACAGTTCATACAATTCCGAGATATTGTCAGTCGAAATCTCTTAAGCAGAAAAAAGCGAGAGAAAAAATTTGAAAAATAAAAACAAACTGATATACATCAATCGGTGCTGATAAGCTGCAATGGCGAAGACACTAATTGCAGTCATCATCCAAACAAAGTTGTTTACGGGAAAAATGTGTAGCACCCTATTGCAATTCCCTTGCTTATTGCAAGGATAGCACACTTCCGAGACAACAAAAGCATTGAGTAACAAGAGAGCGAATAGAAAAGTAGAAGAACTTTTTTTGAAGAATTAAATTTACTTAAAAATTACTTGAAAAACTAGAACTGCGAAATTTTCATGCTTGTATTAGATGACGTTCAAAAACAGCCTCGAAAAACTGGGAATTGTTTAGCAAGCGGAACCTAAGGCTGCAAATTTTAAGTCGACCCATGCTGAGCCGAAAACAAAGCTGTTTTCATTAAAAAATTTGAGCTATAAAGTTTAAACGACCCATCCATTACGAAACACATCAAAAAATAAGAAAACGTTTTGCAATCAAAAGCAAGCAAAATTAATTAAACCAATGAGCTGAAACCATTTCACAAAACACAGAGGCGAAGCGAAGCTTCGCACCACTTGCGATACAACAAACATAAAAAACGAAGTCGAAAAAATAAAAAAAAGTTAAAAACTGGGTCTACCAAATTTATAATTTTCGCATTTCTCGATGGAAGTTCATTCTAGGCAAGTATGACAGACATTCAAATAAAAAATAGCAACGGAACAAAATCTCAGAAGAGGAAACAAAGCCGACAATCTGCGAGCCAGCAAATGAGGTGAAAAAAAAAGATTTCAAAAAAAATCTCTTAAGTTTAATGTCCCACCTTTAACTGCAAAACAAAACCCTTGCGGTTACAACTACAATGAATTGTTTATAGCACAAAAAACATTGGTGATGGGCAACTGAGCCGACTATTTTCGAGCAGACACCATTTGAACCGCGAAAAAATGAGTTATAAAAACAAAACTATAATCTTTCAAACACACCCCTGAAACTACAATGAAAAAGACTTGCACTTCCAACTGCAATGAAATTGCTTACAGCAGAAGCAAAATCTGTGATTTTTTATTTAGTTGCCTAAACTTTAGCAAAGAAACGAAATTCAATTCAATTTTAACCGAAAAATGTTTCAATTGTATACATACTGAAAAAAAACAAGGTCCAGCCGAGACTCGAACCACAGACCTCAGGGTTTAACGGCGACAGTGTTACACCTAGGCCAAAAAGGAAGGAACCTTGAAAAAGTGAAGTGACAAAAATTAGTGAATAAAGAAGTGGAGAATTTGTAAACACTACAAGTGTAATTAAATCTTAGACCCATGCTTTAAGCTTTCGAACTTCCTAGCTTGCTCTCACTCAAATCGAGAAAACAAAGTTTTTAGCATGTTCAAATTTTTCGCAATGGATCAAATCCAGTAAAAAAAACATAGCCAACGGAAATTTGAAAAGTGTCAATGAACAAGGAAACTGAAAAACAAATGAAGTTTCCATTATTATTAAAAATTTTCTTATTTAAATACTTTCAAATTTTGGAGAAAAAATGGCACCTCAATGCTTTTTAAAATTCCAGAATCTAAATTGGTTGACACTTTTATGATAACTCTAATCTTCTTTGAACACAGTTTCATTTTTTGCAGGGAAATATAAATCTTAAAACCTAATCGTGAAATAAACTTCAAAAAAATCAAATCAAATTTTAGCGTGAACAACTTTCATGATTTTTTTTTCAGTAACAAGCAAAAAAAATCAGTATGATTTTTATAATTGTCTTCACTACGTTCATTGACACTTAATAAACGAGAAATCATTGTTCAATTATCTATCAAAGACAACAAATACTGACTGACTACTATTTGAAAGAATAGAAGCAACATTCAATGCTGACTAATAAATTTCACAGAGATAAGGGAAGGGATTTGAAGAGCGGTGATTCACAATTGTTAAAATTAATACAGATGGTTCTGCTGCATCTCTGTCTGTCTCGACTGCTGATAATTCATGTTCTGACCACCCATGCTTGGGTGTGTTCCTTGTTGGCTGAAATACATGGAAGCTGCTGCTCCTGTAGAGTCCATCATTTCTGACTGGCCTTGGGAGGATATACTAATGTTAACAGGAGATGTTGAGCCGTCCCTGCTGTTGTTGTTTACATTCACTTGGTGCTGCTGGTAGTTCGCCGCAGCAGCTGTCATTTGTTGTTGAGAAGGGTGAAATTGAGGTAGCGACTGTTGATATTGCTGCATGAACATTTGCCCTGAGTTTCTGAGCCCCCCTGTTCCCGAGTTGGGGGGTCCCCCGAGGACTTGCGACTGTTGAGGGGGGTTGAAATTGGGGCTGGCTCTCACTGTTGCGGTAGCATTTGTCTCTAGTGAGGCGGCATGTGAAAACAGTTGGCTGCATTGAACAAGATGCTGGCGGATTTTTTCACTCAGCACATTTTGTCCCACAAAACGGGCTTTAAATACCTGAACAGAGCAAAATTAAGTCGCAAACATAATCATCTTTGTCAAAATAAAAACAAAACGTTACATTATACAAAACATCTTGATATAAATTAACGATACCTTTGTTAATTAAATGAAAATCTTCGCCCTTTGAGAACAATATGCAAAGTATGCAAAAATACTAATAACCCCAACCGCAGTTGTGTTTTATTAGAGTACTCACATGCAGTTCTTCAAGACACCTGTGGCCGACTGTTCTGAGACAAGGTAGCCTCAGCAGGAGCCGGTTGCCTCTGGAAGGATCGTCCGGATGACGGGCAGTGACATAGTCCTCTAGAGCCAGGAACACCTTGCAGAGCAACATTTATTTCTCAGCATTACATTCCATTTTTAAACCCCAGTCCCAATCAAAGCAGGGCCCACATGGGCGAGGGAGGGCCCACATGGGCGAGGGAAGTTCGATTCGAACATACGTCGGATTCGAACATCGAACAAATTAATGTTGAGAGGTGTGTGCCTAGCAATGATAAACCAACGAAAACCAGATCCAAAAAAGACAGGCAACTGAAAAAAAAACGTTCACATTGCAATGCTCTTTCTCGGGGAGTGGATAAAAGATATCCAGTTAGGCTCTTTTCCACTTCCCAATATTTCGAATTTTCAATTTTCTCAATTGTTTCTCGCCTCATTTATGCTAAATGCGTGATGACACAAGGTAAAGTAAGAAGAAAAAATCTGTTCACGATAGTTTCTTTGTTCACCGCACCAATTTTCATTGAACTACGAAAACAATAAATAGTTTTCAAAATTTAAAAACCAAATATGGAAGTGGGTACAGAGGCAAAGAAGCTGCATTTCGCAAACACGAGCAAAAAACGCCGGAAGTAGCTTTGAAATACAAAACAAGCAAAAAAACTAGAGAAATTGACATCGGATAACCTTTGAAAACTACGGACGAAGATTCCACATTTACCCGGAATTTCGAAGTCGTAAAATCGAGGCAAACAAAAAACAGTAATCAAAACTTGCGAAAATTTAAACCATCACAAACTCTAACAAGTCGTTTTTTTATTGGGGTTGAGACAAAAAAACTAATCGAACGCGTAGAGTTACTACATTAGGCAGAATTGACAACAATTTAAAAAAAACACCCGCTTCCTCATTTTTTGCAGCACAACTTTACTTTTTTCTTAAAAAACATTTTGCCAAGGAAGCGCTAAAAGCTTTCAAACCAAGTTTGCTGACGTGAAATTAGGATTCTCGAAATTAGGATTCTCGAAAAAACACCGTAAGACCTAATCGCTTGCTTTATTTGCCCGAATTTAGACTTAAAATTTCAAACCACGACTACAAAAATTTTAATAGAATACATCACGCGACCCATTCCGATTGCTATTTGTTGTAACTGATTGAAATGGAAAACAAATTAGGCCTGCTCACTCAATTAAATCGCTTGAAGTTAGACAAAAAAATTATTACCGTTTTTTTTTCAACAGTAAAAAAAACATTTTTTGAAACTTTTCAAAAGTCGTTTGAATCAAAAGCGATTAAACATGATACATTACTGGTTCTATTTCGATGAAAAATTCATGCGCATAGCTTTACAAACAAAAACATAGGCAACATATTTTTGGAAAAGAGTAAATGAACGCAAAGAATCAGAAAAAAACTTACTTTTAGAAAAATCTCTTTCGAATTTTAAAAAAGAAGATGCCAGTTAAGCTCTTTGAATTTCTACAACAGTTCATGATTGGTCTTTTTCTGATTGAATTAACCCAATTTGAGAAAATTAGATTGATAGGTAATTTTTCTTTATTCGGCTGAGAAATCTGGAAAGATAAACTCTCGCAACTAGAAGACAGTTCATGATTGGTCTTTTTCTGATTGAATTAACCCAATTTGAGAAAACTAGATTGATAGGTAATTTTTCTTTATTCGGCTGAGAAATCTGGAAAGATAAACTCTCGCAACTGATATCGTCTTCTAGTACTTTCGCAACTAGAAGACGATATCAATTTTCGTGACCTTTACACTTTCGCTGTTCGATCCTGGAGTTTGCCTTTATTTTAGAAAAGAATTGAACTGAGAATAATTAGAAATCAAAATAGAGCCGCGTAAAATCAAATTAGAGCGTGAAAAAAATAATGAACTTTTCAAGGAAATAAAAAACTGAAAACAAATCATCAGCACCCATATAACAGTCTGAACTACGTTTATTAACTCTCAAACAGCCAACATACTGTTGTAAAAGAGTCAATGAATGCACCAAACAGAAAAAAAACTTGCTTATTCTTTGGAATTCAAGAACAATTTGCGATTGACTCTTTTTTGATAAAGCATTTCAGAAAACGGGGTTAAAAGGTAACTTTTTTTCCGATGGGAACTGAAATCCATTTTCGAAATACAGTCGATCGCATTTTCGAGACTTTTACACTTTCGCTGTTCGGTCCTGGAGTTTGCCTTTATTGAAAAAACGAATTGAAATGAACTTTAAAAGAAATAAAACAGAACAGCGTAAAATTAAATTTAGGCGTGAAAACATAGCCAACTGACAGTTGGAAAAAAATAGAACGCAAGGAAACTGAAAAAAAACCGACCTGTTTTTTCAAAAAAATCTTGAATTTTTGAATTTCGAGTAAAAAGTTGGATGGCCTTAAGCCTCTATGAATTTGTAGAACAATTTACGATGGACACTTTTTAAATATAAAGTAACCCAATTTGAGAAAACTGGATCAATAGGTAAAACTTTTATTCCGCTAGGAAATCTGATAATTAATTTCCATTTACGAAATTAGAATTCGATCACGTTTTTCGTCACCTTCACTATTTTGCTGCTCGATAATGGAGTTTGCCTTCCTTTTAAAAATAGAAATGCACTGAACTTAAATTAAAATCACAAGTCAAACTGCGAAAAATCAAAATTGAGCTCGAACAAATTTAAAAAAAAAATCAGCAAGACCTTCATAAGAGTACTCACTACGCTCATTACTCTTAAAAATTGTGAGAAATTTTCCTGAAGAAATAACGAACAAAAAATCACCAAGGCTTATATGAGAAAATTCACTACGTTCATGACTCAGAAAAAAACTAAAACACAACCGAAGACCAAATCCATCCCAATTTTCTTAACAACAAGGATAGCCGGATGCTGTGCAAGTGACAGAGAATATTTCAACCACGTTAACCTGAAGCGTGGCTGAGAAAATGTGAAATGAATGTACGGAAAATTGAGACGACTAGAATTGAGACGATCAGGTACACAAGACCAGCAACTGAAAATAAGGAAAAAACTAGCAGTGCCAGATGTCTCAATTAGATGATAATTTGCAGCCATTTGGCAACTATAGCTGAAATAACTTTAAAATGCATTTTAAACTGGATAGGAGGTTTATTCTTTAACTCACTTCTCCTCGTAAACTACTTTGAAAAGCGAACAACTCAAACCCATTCTTCTCGATACTGACAACTTTTTTCAATTTTCTAGCTCGGAATCCGAATCTCGTCTAATAGCGCTTTATCACGATACAGACTTGACCCCCGAAGTGCTTTCCTGGAATTATTTGTAATTGGTCAGAAGAAAGATCAAACCTACGCTTTAGTTCTATCATTATATCTGGCGAAAAATGTTGGGTTTTTGACGAGAAAGAGGGATTCACCTGGTCTCTCCGCCTCTCGATCTCCAACTTCAGATCCTCGGCCAGGTTCTCACTCTCGGGATTGAACAAGATGACCGCTTTCAAGCAGCCAACTTCGGCCTTGTCTGCAATAATCGAGTCCAGCTGAGACTTAAGTTCCAATGTCAATCTTAAACAGACAAACGGCGTTACCATCGTCATCATTATCATATTTAGCATCAGCGCCAACAATTCAGTATTATCAAGCCTTAATTTATTCAAAAGGTGTATAAAACTTCACAGCCAAAATATCAATTTTCAGTCAGTTCGTATAGATCAGACAATCAGGGCAATTATTACTCGGTAAATGAAAAATTAGCTTTGAAATTACGAAGGCAAATTTGAACTAATACAATCAAATCAACTTTGATTCAAAAGTTTCAACAAACATTAGCGAAAAACATAAAGCCGCATAAGTGTCGATGAACTCAAAGAAAACTAAAAAAAACTATGATTTGAACCTTCAAAAAACGAAGTCAAACCGTAAAAATATAAATTAGAGCGTTTAAAACTTCAAGAGTTTCTTTCAAAAAAAATAATTATCTTACTTTCTTCCATCAAATCAACAAAAAATGAGCTCAAATTTCTGATGGATCTTCTCCTGAACTTACCTTCGGATCCTGGCAGCATCTGACACGTGTGATGCTATAGCTCCAATATTTCCTTTTTTGTTGAAGATTAAACTCATGATGAAAAGCTGAGAGAAAGCTGAAACAATCAGTGGGTCGAATGGAGAGTTGTCAGCGTAGTAAGTTTTTTAAATAAAGCCATTTATTTTGCTTTTAGAGCTACATGTTCATGGATTTGAGAGACATGTTATGGATTTAAAAATGGCCAAGGATTTGGTTTAAAAAATTTAGCGCGGTGTAATACAAATTAAGTGGCTCCATAAATTTCAATAACAAAAAGTAGAAATAAGCCTCGAATTAGTTAAAAATCGGCTACGTCTGGGATCCGATCTGGGACCTACTGCAACCTAGAAAATTGGAGTCTCACGCACTAACAATTGAAAAAAATTCAAAATCAGAATTGGTAAATTTCAAAATAATGGCCTGTCACTTACAGTAAAAACGGTTTCAATCAAGAAAAAACCCATGCTTTCGAAATTAAGTGGATAAAAAAATAGTGCATGCCAGATAATATTTATGAGATTAAAAATACGAAAAATGAACCGACAAAAACTAGGACGAACACCACGAATACGAAAAGAAATCAGATTTTTACAAGAATTTTTTTATTCTCAGCTAATTACCACTTGAATGATGATAGTTCTATTTGAATTTTCAAGAAAAAGAGCATGCCAGAAATGAAACTGCCACTCCTAATAAATTGACTGTTACGTGAACAAAGTTCATTACAGGGGGAAAAAGTCTAGTACCCGATTGGAATACCCTTGCTGATCGCAAGAGTAACACAGAGGCGAAGCTGCGCTTCGATAACACTAGCGAGCACACAACAAAAAGCAGCTCTAGAGTTCTAAAAAGTGTAATAAGAAAAAGTAAAAATAAGCTTCGAATCAGTAAAAATTCGGCGAAGTCTCGGACTCGAACCTACGACCTAGAAACTATTGAGTCTTACGCTCTTACCACTCAGGCATGGATGCTTAGTCCAATACAAACACCAGCCAAAAACAAAGCCGAGAACAGTTGCTATGAAATTTCCAATGCTACAGATCATAATTATAGCAAAAAGACACGCAAGTGAAGAACACTTTTATTTGCGAGTTAGGTTAGAAAAAAAAAGTTTCGTACTAAAACACTAGCTGCTCGCTAGCGTAATTACTCTTATATCTACGAAAACCATAGCTGCTGGAATTTTTGCATAGGATAGTACTGACCTGAGACCAAGAGGGGTGTTTTGACGTCATCCGGGAGGTCGACAAAACTTGGTATTTTCATTGCCCACTCTACTGTGTCTCGGAGTGAGTCATCAATAAAAACACTGAAAGTGAGCAGATTGCTGTCTACATTGTTTCCCATTGAGTCTGGCAGCTGTTTTGAATCTTCTGTGAGTTCCTTCTCGGCCGCGATCAGTCTGTCAATGAGAAGCCGGAACCTCTGCTTATTTGTCTCTTCCTCCGGTTGGACGAAATTACTCCCATGTGACTTTCTTCTTTCCTCTTGCACGGCTAAAATTACATTTACAACCTTCTCTGTAACTGTATCACACCATCATTTTGAAATTTGTCATTAAAGTTCCGAGTCGTCAAAAGGACAAAAACTTGAATCGGAACAGTATATATTTCGGATCCTTTTAGCTATTTCCCCTTTTTTGCAAGGCGGGGAGAAATTCTTTTCTAGGTACAAAATTAACATGGCTTAACCATATAATTATTTCTTTGTAGGGCTGGCATATCGTAACCAGGCACGCTAAAGGGACCCTATATTTAAGTATATTAATAATTTTATGAAACTCATTGATTGAAGAGCCAACCAAAAATTGAGATATCGACAAAAATATCCGACAGACGGTAGAAAAAAATAAATCATTATTTTCTTTTAGAGCAAACTTCAGTTTTTGAGTTCAAATAAAAAATATATCGCCTTAACGCTCTTTCCATTTCAAAACTTTTATGATTGAGTTCTTGAACCATCATAAAAATTCGGAGCTTAGCAACACTAAATATAAACGCAAGCATAGCATTGCAAATTAGCTTATAGAGAACGAGACGGAAAAAAATTGTAAACAACTACCACTAACACATCTATAAAACTTTTCTCTCGACTGATGTTCAACTTCAGGAACGCAGTCGAGAAATGCAATCATCAGCTTTAAATTAGCATTAATTATCGCTCAGCCAGCATCCACTAAGCCGAAAAAACTTCGGTAGACTACCGTTCAGAAGAAAATAAAAAACATGCCATCGGAGAGTTTGAAGCGTCAACGAAAGCAGTTAACAGAAAAAACTTAGTTTTTTGAAAAAATCTCAACTTGCGAATTCCAAAGAAAAAAATAGAAGCTCGCTAAATTTCTAGAACAATTTGAGATTGACTTTTTATTTGATAAACGCAACCCACAAAAAATTTTCCACTGGGAAACAGAATTTAATCCACTTTCGAAACAAGAGGTCGATCACGTTTTTCGTGACCTTTACACTTTTGCTTTTCGATAGTGGAGTTTGCCTTCCCTGTAACAAAATACCTATAAAAAAGATTATCTTAATGATTATCTTAAATGATGATCTTAAAAATAATTTATTACTTATAATTTATCATATTCCATAACTAACTTTGATATTATTTTCAGTAAAAATTGAGTGTCCGCAGTCAGGCCGCTTTTAGATAGCACATAATATAGTTGACCACAAATCGTTTTGCCAGTATCAGTGATCAGTGAACAAAGTAAAAGCCAAAGCGGTACGGTAGCATTTGTTCTAAGTCGGAACAAATTGTTCAATATGCTCAATCATACAATTTATTTAGTCATGCACAGAGGCGGGAGCTATACACCACTTGCGATACAACTGTGATGTTCCAATGCTAGGGGTGTTAGTTTGTAATAAAACAGAAGAGTAATAAATTTTAATTTAACTCTTGGTGAAACTTTGGTTTTGTTTAGAGATCATGTTCATCTTTTCATATCTCTCTTCAGATTGCAAACGTCCAAATGACTGTTGCGTTCGGCCAGCATGAATGGCCTTGAATAATACTAACAATACATAACAGAATATTAATACCACTTATTGGCCAAGGTTACTGTGGCAACAGTACTACACCGTACCACATTCCCCTGAGGACAACAAAATTTTATATAATACCTTATAAAATTTTATAATCAATATATATGAGTTTGTATCTCAGTTTACTAAGTTGTTTAATGTTTGATTCAGTTTCCTTTGTTATTTTTCTTTACTTCCGCTTTGTTTCTCGCAGCGCTCCACGACCCAGAATCGTCCAATGATGTAGCCCCAAATTTCCGTTTGAATAGGTGTCTCTCTAATAGGTTGAACGTGTTGTTTTCCGGCGTTGTTTCTTTGTTGTTGAGTTTTAAGTTCGCTAATCTCGTTCTGTAGGCCTCTAGTGCTGCCAAATTTATCTCCGTGACATCGTCCTCACAACTAATAAGTTTGACCGAATGGGATACTGGGCTACCATATCTCTTTGGCCCCTGGTTCTTCGTTTGTCTATTACTCCTTCTAACTGTCGTTTCCTCCTCTTCTTTATCCGACTCGTCAGAAAACCCTGGTGGGGGAAAAATATCGGCTGGTCCTGCTTGTTGAGTTAGTAATTTTTCCGCTATTGCAAACGTCCAAATGACTGTTGCGTTCGGCCAGCATGAATGGCCTTGAATAATACTAACAATACATAACAGAATATTAATACAACTTATTGGCCAAGGTTACTGTGGCAACAGTACTACACCGTACCACAACAACAAACATAAAAAAAACTCAAGTCGACAAAAAAATTAATGTTGAAAAAATCTAGGTGAACCAAAATTTTCTTATGTCTAGATAAAAATCAATTAGCGGCCCAGCTAAAGCTTGAGGGGTTTGTTTGATATTGAATCAATTTGCTATACTGAGGCGGCACAAAAATGTGATTTCAAAAATTTGACAGTGTGACCTCAATTGTTTCTTCAAAATAATTTAGTAGAAGAAAAATTCGAGATAATCAATTTCCCAAAAAGATAACACTTATCTAACAAAAAATTAGGAGCCGCTCTTCTCAAGGAAGCATTATCGCAACAGGTTCTTTCAATTTAACGTTTCATCTCCGGCTTGAATTTCTAATTTGTAAATTAAAAAAGTTTCTAAAAAAACGGTCAAAAGGATTTCCAAAATCCCTGATTTTTTCTTACTAAGAGAAAGTTTTAGCCTTTCAAGCAGAAACGATTCCCAAAACCAAGTTTCTCGATTAAATACAACCTGAGAAACGGCACGACAGTTTTCAAGTGAAGTCGAAAAAGTTTGCAAAAAAATGTCAAAGTTTCGAAACTTCGACTTGCTTGAGGGCCATAACTTGTTTTCTTAGACAAACTGGGCCTAGCCAGATATAAAGGTAGGCTTCCAACAACCTGTTGTTTCGATTAAACCTATTATAACAAAATTGGCACGATAGTTAGCGAAAGAAGTCCAAAAAACGGTCAACTAATCAAATATTTGATACTTCCGATGTTATAAAAAATAGGGCGTATTCGCTTATCCAGAAGGGATTCACTCAACCTGCAATTTCGATTGAACACAAAATCTCATATTTGGAAGGTTAGTTCTCGAGAATTGTCTAAAACTTTTTTTTTTAAAAACGGTAAAAAAGACCTTTTCCGTTGGCCGCAAGTTGTGGTGTCAGAAAAATTTGGGAGTAGTCGCAGTATAAGCAAATGAGCTTTCCAAAACCCGATCTTTGAATTGAACTTAAAATTTCTGAATTGAACCCAAAGGAAATACAAAGTCAGAGTCAGTAAAATAACAAATTGTAAGAGTAAACACAGAGGCGAAGCTGAGCTCCGCACCACTTGCGATATGAATATGAAAATCAAACGGAAAAAAAATTCAGAAAAGTTGTTTATATCAATAAAAATTGCTGCAAAAGCCCAAAATATCCGGAAAAAAATTGGCTGCACCATAAAAAAAACTTAACAGAATGCTTTGGGAATGCTATAAAAAGCCAAATTTTCAAAAAAAAAAATAGTCCTTTCTGCGAAACTAAGCAGACAAAAATAAGCAGACAGACCATCCAAATTGGCCAAAACTTTCTACTTGCAAGAAAAACAAGTCTAAACTTGAATCAAACTCCCGGGCTTTGTCGGCTCAAGCATGGGGGTTACAGCAACTTTGTATAAAGCTGAAGCATCGAGCTTCGGGAACTAGGCCGACAAAAAACAGACGGACGATAATCCGAAAGAGCAAAAAAACTCTAATTTGCAAAAAACGCCCCGCCGGATTCAAACCGCAAATCTTTGCCGTCTCAAGCAGTTGTTTTACCTCTATGCCAGGTGCGCCGGATGGTTGATTGGATTTAAATTTATATTTAACAGGCGGTAACAAAACCGAAAAAATCTAAGCAGAAACCCTTCAAACCGAAAAGAAAATCAGAAAAATTCTTCATTATAAAAAAATGCCAAGTCCCTTTTCACCTCACAGCTCTCACGCGCACAAAATCTTTTTCGGGCGTAATGACGCAGTAAAGTTGATATTAATTTTATTAAGCCGATAAAAAGACGAAAAAATTGAAAAAGGGAAATTGTAACAAATCGAGCTGGTAAAATTACCACCAATGTAAAAGCGAATTCCGATTCAGCCCGATTTTCAAAATGCTTAAAATAAATGCAGTTAAAATTGTTTACAGCTAAAATAAACTGTTCTTAGATGTGGTAACTAAGTCGACAACACATAAACAGACAAATGAAAGGCCGATTTTTTTTTGAAACGGAACAATTACCGTTTGAAAAAAAAAACTGGTCCTGGTCAGATTCGAACCATGGACATTTGCCGTCCCAGGCGAATTCGTTACACCCGGCTAAATGCGCAAGAGACCACAAAAGTTGAATTCATTATGTGCCATGGTACCACCAGTTTAATGACTCCTGTGGACATAAATGTTTACTGGAAAAATAAGTCAAGTACCCGATTGCAATTCCCTTGCTATCGCTAGGGTAAAAACACTAAAAGCAACTTTAAAGAAATATGCGCGCTGCAAAAAAAATGATTTCAAGATGTGCCAACTAAGTCGACAACAGATAGGCAGACAAATAATTGGCCGAAAATTTTATTTACCCGAATATTTCCCCTTACCTACAGGGGCATATTCGTTACCTACAGGCTAAGCTGGCCGGCAACGCATAGAAGTTTGATTTCGTTATGAACCAAGATACACGAGATTCAAATGATTCTGTTAAACAAGTTGTTAACTACAACAAAAATCTATATTCCAGTTTGATATTGCTTGCTAATGGCAAGCATAACAATATGATTGTTGACTTTAACCTGTTAGACAAAAAAAATTATGGGATCAGAAAAGCTTATTGAATTTTTTCTCCGGTGCTGAGCTTCTCTACGATTTAAATGTAACCTCATATACAAGGATGCACTATCAATTAAACGCATTGCAAGCTATGGTAGTGCAATTATAGCCAACTAGACAGGTTGTGGCGGACTTTAAGCAAGCAAATAAAGATCTCAACCTTCTATATTTACACCTTTTCCTGGCTTTCTGGGAGTTTTAGATGATAACCAATTTGTTGCACGTCGCTTCTTCTAACTTGAACGAAGTTACTTGAAACGATTTGCATTCTTATAAGCTTGTGTATGAAAGATCCAAATACAATCTGGACTAACAGAAGCAAGCTATGAATCCAAACTCACTTAGTTCTACTTTTCAAAAAAGGAACATATGAAGAGGCACACCGAAGTATTTTAAACATGTCTCTTATTATTAGATTGTTTCCTGGCGCAGACAAGTTTAGGATAATTAAAAGCACCCGACTTGTTATATCAAGATCTCAATTTTAATGTCAATTTCAGGAGAATACTGAACATAATCCTGTTCAAGAAAACCATTTCTTATTAACATCTTTGTTCTTGAGTCTATATGATATATTTATACATTATAACCACAACCACCACACTTAGATACCAGACGAGAGAAAATCATAGAAAAAAAAGAGAATAGGAACCTTCTTTTTTCATTCCGTGAGCGAGGCACTTTTTGAAGCGACAAGCTTGACATCTATTTCTGAGGTTCTTGTCAATCGGACAGTTCCCATTATCCCTGCACTTGTACGTCAATCCATTTCTTACAGTTCGCTTGAAGAAGCCCTTGCACCCCTCACATGAGAACACCCCGTAGTGCTTGCCTGAAGACTTGTCGTTGCAGATCTCACAGGGCGGGATCGAGGTCTTGTTCATTGCAGCGGCGGCCGCTTGCGCTGCATTCTAAAAACCGCACTCAAAAATTACAAACCCGCGAAAAAAATGGCTCAAAGTGTTGCACAGTCTCTAGGGAATGTTTAAAAGCGAGCCCAGCGAAAATCTCGTGACCTTTGATTCCAAATATCCGTCCTTTGAACATCAGAGAATAGAGAACAGAATAACGAAATAGAATTGCTAAAGTTTATTCACATGAAACGGATATTATGTATTTAAAAGACGATTCGTTATTTTTTAACATGCAAAAGTTGCGAGCTATCTTAATGCATCAAACTTAGCTGCATCAAAAACTTGCGTGAATTCCCCTACAAAATAAATTCAATCACTTATATTTTGCAACTTTTAAATAGTTTTTAAATAAACGAATGAAACTCAACAAACAGCAATAAAGAATAGTTGAAATACTTTGTGTCTGAATAGTTGAAACTTAAGTGTCTTTCCTTTCAATGTTAGGAAAATTGCTGTCGCGGGTAAAAACCGAGGAGCAGCTAATTCATTCGCAAATAAATCTACAAATGAACTCAGCAAATAATTGCCAGATTATTCAACTTGAAACAAGTGATTGCGTTCACAATCGGCAATAGAAGGGTTTACGCGCACGTGAGGATGGGTTCTATCGCGCTTCGGTTTTGTATACTGATTCCTCCAATCGCTAATCTCCTTGAGGAACATTTTTATTTGAATTTGAACAATTGAAATTGGACATCGGAGTGTCTTTTTACTGTATCCGTACAAAATTAAAATTTCAACATCTTGAGCTGAAGCTTTTTTGCTTCAATCTGATTGGCTACAATCAGCCAATCAAACTTGATCACCATTACAAAATATTTTGTTCAATTGTAAGTTGGCTTATAAATTAGCCGATTTAGCCAAAAAATATATACATTGTTTGGTAAACTGTTCAAATTTATTTCAAATAAGCTGCAGAGTTTTGTCCAGAGTAGAACAAAACATAGAAAATATCTCCAGGTCAGAAAATGACCACCACGTCTGCTCAAAATTCGGCCTTGTTAAATATCGGCTCAACAATAAAGTGATTGCATTTGTATAAACCAAACCGGACATCAAGCCAACGGGACTTCAAGCCCATTCGTAAAGAAAAGGACCTCAAGCCGAATATTTTCTCAAAAGCCCTAAACTATGAGTCATTTGAAGACTGATGTTTAGGAAAGTTAGAACTTATAACATCGTTGAATGAGTTTTTCATATTAATATATTATGTATTTCAAAATCCGGCAGACGTAAATTACGAATGCCATTTTTAAGTGCTGCATTGTCATGAATGACATTTATTATGGACCTGCCTGAATTTTAGAAAAAAAAAACATTTTACAGACGAGAAAATAAATATTTGAGGTGCTTGTAAAGTTTAAATTTCGGCCTGTAGTCCCGTCGGCTCGTCCTAGACCCAACAAAACCAATCACTCCGACAGTGCTTTGTTCTCTGCATTTCTATATTGAGCCAAAAATTGTGTAAATGCGATATATTGAGTTGGAAAACTTCTGAAATCAATTTATTTGAAATTGTAAATTGTACTGTTGTTTGAAAAAATCACTTTTTTCGGGTTCTTAGATGAATTGAAAATGCAACAACTGTGTGTTAACTTATTACTAATCGAATGTCAAGCCACATGCAATCAAAAAAACCGCAAGGTTATTTGCAACTTAGGTTTAAAAAAAAAGGAGCCTTACTTTTACACTACGCTCGCTAAAGCACCCGAGTATAAACATAGATTATTCCAAACTCGATTCATCCATTTTCTGTGAGTTTTACTGACAAAAATTAACAATAGAAGCGAGAACCAATGACGTCAAGTACTGTTACAACACTCAACTTCTCGATTATTTTCTAACAATAGTCTTGATGGTGTCCGGCAAATAAGGTGCCAGCTGTTAAGACGACAGCCGTTTTTAATGCGACTTTAAGATGGCGCTATATGGAATTCATCAATATTTCTCAGAAATACAAATCTCTAATATTCGAACCGTTTTAACGTCTAATTGTCGTCTCAATGTCCTGTCGTCTTATTTACCAAGAACCACTCTTGATATATTTTCAAAGATGATGCACGAAATCCCTCATACGCGAAGGATTGAATGCGCGAAAATAAAAACCAGCCAATCAGATTTCAGTAATCTAAAAGTTGGACAGAAAAAAAGAACGTCAACATTTCCAGGGACCTAATATTGATGTTGGCCGAATATAAAAAGGACAGAAGTATGCAAAATATTCAAATTGTTACTGACCGCCGCCGAATTGGAACAAATTTTATATTTCAAGGGTTTCGTTATGAAAGAAGCAAAATATTGCTTCATTTAATTCATTTTAATTGAATGGCAATTGATTCTTTTAACAAATTGACTTTCGGCTAATTTTGTTTTCGGTCCTTCCCCCACGAGTTTTTCGCCCATTCGGTCCTTCGCGCATGAGAATAGCCCAGCCCCCGATAAGTGCCGCTGTTCACCTTTCAATTCGTAAACACCAACGCATTTAACGTCATTTGACAATAAAAAGTCATGATCATTAATTATAGCTCGGAAATTGAGCCACAATAAACTCGTTTTTGCATTCAATTATCCAGAGTTTACAAATGCAGTATATATAAGACAATGATAAATAATTATAAAAAACAACGAACGCAGGAATTTGTTAAATAAAATCCGAACTTCTAAAAAATTCTCAATGTCTTCAGTTCGTTTCAACTTACATTTCTCCAACAGCTGTCATAGACCCATGAAGCAACGAAGCTTCCGTCACTGTTCTGACAACACATTTTTAAATGATTTCAAAAATCAAAACAGTTAGGTTAGTTGTTTAAGAGCCAATTTTCAGCTCTTCTGGGAAGAATAAATTGAGAGCGAGTTTTATTGTTAAAGAGAAGAACTAGAATCCCTCCTGTAAAATAAATTTGAGAAACAAGCTTTAAAGAAAAGCAAAGTTAAGACAAGATTAGCCGATATCCGTGCAAGCGGCACAAAAACTTCCAAACACAGCAAATTTGTGTCAATGTTAGTTGCTTGGTGTAATGCGAGCATCAAAACTAAAGCTTATTACACTAGTAAATTAGTTTAAAAAAGCTCAAAAAGTCAATTAGTATAATAAGTTAACATGAAAGAGTACAAAAATGCAACAACAAAATTTTCTTAAATGGTCTATATTTGCAGATTTTATAGGAACTTTTTATTGACAAGAAAGCGCTAAATGAAGCACCGCAAGCTTGCATTGCTGCGACACAAAAAAATTATGGCAAGCTAGCCGGCAGAAAAAGGAGACGAAGTCCAATTCTTTTTTAATGCCGACAAAAAACAAGATCTACCTTAATCTACACTTTCATATGTTCGTCGGAAAAAAGTTCTAAGGAAAAACGTCAACTTAGTCTATTGGATTTTGAAATACCAACTAAACAGAATTTAACGTATGTCTAGAAAACAGCTTAAAACTTGCGCTGACACCCATTGAATACAAAATTTAAATTTCATACAAATTTTAAAAGCTTATAAAGTTTTAACCTACCTCAAAAGTATTGGAAACTTTTTCCACTCATCAAAATCCGCTCTTTGAGACCACTCAGCAGACAATAACAGCCAAAAAAAAGAGAAAAACTGAAGAAATATTATATCAGATTTGGTAAACTTAGCACCCACATGAACACAGAGGCGAAGCGAAGCTTCGCATCTTTTACAATGCAAGACTAACATTAAAAAAACAGCACATCTAGAGAACAGTTTAATCTAGGCAACCTTGCATAGCAAAGTATCTGAATTTTGAACACAGAGGTGAAGCCGAGCTACGAATCACTTGCGATACAATACAAAACAGCCACTAAATCGGAAAAAAAAATCAGAAATGCCAAAATCTATCAAAAAGAATTTAAAACAAGGCTAGCCGTTAACTGTGCAAGAAGCACAAAATATTCTGACCTTCTTAAAAAAATACAATAAAATTATTTTTCCAATCAGTGTCGTTTTTTCGGCTTGGTGTGATAACGGAATCTGAGCGAAACACTAGAGCTTAGGCATTTTCGTCAGTCATTGTAAAATATGCAAATTGGAAAACCATTTTTGAAGACAAATAACAAGAAAAACAAACTAAAAGAAAAACTAACTTCATTTGAAAAAAAAACTTAATTTTCAAGGCTTAAATTAAGCATAAATAAGCTTATGTAAGCCTGCTCACGCGCTCGAAATAAGACGAAAAATCAAAAATTTCAAATTATTTTTTCTCAACAGGGAAAACTTTTATAAGATATAGCACTCAAGCCAGTCTGATCAATTCTGGTGGAACCTGATTTTGCGTGAAAAAGTAAAAAACTAAAACATATCCGAATACAAAGTTCCTCCCCATTTTGAATGGTCGGACCAAAAAGAATTTAAAAACTCTCACCAAGACAAAAGACGATAAAAACAGAATCCGAAGAAAACTTACCAAGCTGTAAAAAAACCGAAAATAACTGGGAGAAAACCGTTCAAGCCGAAAAAAAATCAAAAACAATAGACTTCACTTCAAAACTAAAACGTTTATTTCCCCTCCCCCCCCCCATTTCTCTCAATACACACAGGCACATAAAAACTTTTTTTTGCTCATTAAACGACAAAAAATGAGGCCAATAAGCCGATATGAATTAAGCCGAAACTTAACAACCCGAGAAAAAAAACGAAATTTAAAAAGACCTTAAAATTTTTTAAAAAGTTGCTGAAGCCCCATCCATTTCAATACACACACACGCACACTTTTCTTTTCGCTGATTAAACGACAAAATATGAGGCCAATAAGTCGATATAATATAGGCCAAAACTTATTACACCGAGGAGAAAAGAGAAAAAATCAAACTTAAAAAAAAGACTCAAAAATATGTAGTTGTTAAAGTCTCACCCCTTCATTAAACACACGTACACAATTTGTTTTTAGTATACTCAAGGACGCAATATGAGCAAGAAAGAAAAGGAAAACAAAAATTTTGAAATTAGAAAAAACAAGCCGGTGAAATTAGAACCAACCTAAAAAG